TGAATATACTCGTAAATGCTGTTGCTTTTGGAGATAAAAATGACAATATTGAAACTGTTACAAACCAAAAGCTTCACAAATAAAGGGCCTTTCCATTCAGATGATTGCATAATAATACATCTTACTTTGAAATTGATTATGATATTGGCCAATTGTATGAATGGTAGCTGTATGTTTTAAATCAGTATTGTTATCAGTTTTTGTTTAGATAGATTAATATTTACTCAAAGCAGATAGCATGTCAACGGTCTCCATATTACCAAGATAACGTTATCGATCAGGAAGTAAACATTTTTCGCACTGATGAGATCAAATTTCGCCAAAATGCTTGCACAGAGGCATGTTATTAATTTGATTTTAATACAAACTATCATTTATGTCAGTCATAAGGGTACAAAAATAATATAATATTACGCGGATATTATTAGCGAGTAATTAATATGAAATAAAAAAAGTCTGTGCAGAATACTGTTTGTAAATAATAATGCTTCACAAAAGTTTCCTTTATTTGTATTTATTTTCTACAAAAATAAACATATTTTCATGAGATTTTTAAACATGTTTGAGTAGATATTTGGTAAGAGGTAAAAATGTCCTATTTCACTTCATCTTCGCTTTGTTATAAAACAATGTTGTGATTCAGCTGGACTTATGACTCTAACAACATCTGTTCATAGTTTTTAATTAAGTGCTTTAGATGAAGACGAGGAAAATTGATTGTAAGCGAGACTGTGATACGTTTTCGAAGCGCATGCCTTTAAAAAAATTGTTTATTTAATATGATCATTTACATTTTCTGTATTAGGTTTAAAGTATTTTTTTCAAAGTATTGTTGAGGTATCAAGTACAATCCAATTTGCAGAAGTGTCCGGATAAATATTTCTGGTACAAACTGCAAAAAATCAGAGTAAGGTGATGACAATACAGTTAAATGTAAGCGATGGTGTGGTATTATTGTCAAGAGATTGCAGTACATTTTAACCTTTTTTATGTTTTCAGTTTATCATTTCTAGTATTCCGAATATATCAAGTAAAATTACAGCCTGTAGACAAGATTGCAGGAGTGTATATGCCTACATTTGCAAAAGAAAATTATTTATTGTACAAAATGTTTAAATGAAAAATAAAGAAGATTTTTATAAATTACTTGTGTTTTATATTGAATTGAAAGTTTAATAATAAATAAAAGTTTGATATTGCAATTGGAAATCACAAGGCTTGTTTTTGTTTGCTAAAATAGACAATACATCTCCTTTTTTCGTTAAGTCTTACAAAGTAAGAGCTAACATAAACATACTTTCTCTTCTTTTTAGAAGCGTTTTTACACTCTTGCATGGAATTATTTTTACACTCTTGCATGGAATTATTTGATAGATTTTGACTACATTAGATAAACGAATTCTGTCGCCCGAGTTCTCTAACATCGTTTAGTAACATACAAATTATTGAAGCCGCTGTGATAAAGATCTTTATTACATGCTTTTCAGTCGTTTATGGATATTTATCAGTGAAATATAAAACTGATAATTTCACTGTTTAAAACAGTGAAATTATCCATTTGATAATTATACAGTTTAAGCCCCTTAGGCCTACGTTGTTTCAGTGAAATACCAGCGCGCACGGTACTGGAAACCAACTTAATTACGTGACGTCATAAATGACGTCACATTGTATTATTATTTGGCGCGCTTTTCATTTAGTCTTTTTAAACGTTTCTTTGCATATAATAAAAAGAAAATTTGTGTAGTTTATTGTAAAATCGAAATATATTTCACCTCGTGAAAACCAAAAGTTCATATTTCACTTGTGGCTGCGCCACACGTGAAATATACCTTTTGGTGCTCAGTCGGTGAAATATATTCCGATCTTACACTGAACTATAACAAATTTATATTGTTTTATTTTCTAATTTATTGGACAGAGTGATTACACATAACTTTTCCTCGAAATTTGTATTTTATTACATTTGGTTTCATTTGCATTTGGAGGGCGGGGGTCCTGATATTGTTTCACAAGTAGTAGGAATAACTAAAACTTTCGACAACCTTATTCTAATATTACTCTAATATTACTCTTTTCTAGCTATTACTGATAACCCTGACACAACATATTACCTTACGTGACACCTTAATAAGAATAATATGCTTTATAAATTTCAACAGCAAAATTGATGTGACTCGCACTGTTCGACCGCAATGCTAATGTTATATGTGTATTCAAGTAACATATTTAATTTAAGCCAATAGTAGGTAGCACACAGAAACAATGTTTACCTAGGTTTGGTAACCCTGTTAACAAGCTACCTAGCATCCGACAAAAAATATTCACCCGTTTGAAAGAATTTTAACAAAACAGGACATTACACACATGTTTCAGTTTACGTAACATGACTGATGTAAACGATATGACCTCAAATTTTAACTTTTTTTTCATTTCATCTTTTTATAAGATTATCTATTTCAAGGTTGTCAATTATAAACAGTCTGGTCTAGGGTTGGATATCGTTCTTCACGAAACGGTCCGATACCGATACCGGTACTGACGAAACGATACGGGTATTTTATCGATACTGATACTGATACTTTTACAATACCAAACCCTTTGCTGCAAGTATAAGAACTGAAGTGATATAACATGTAGTAATAGAAAATAAATATGTTACATTACTGGTCTTTCTGAAATTTCATGCTGTAAAGTATACTTTTCTTTTGTTGTTTTGTGTTTACTCTTTCTTACAACATTAACACATGTTAATTGTAAAATACTTTTACTTTTTCATCAAAAGAACATGACATAATTTAAACACAGCAAAATATCTTATGCAGCAGCAGGACAGCAGTCTGCAGTTGAGAAGTCTACAAATTATTGTTTTAATCTTGATATCTCTACATCTGAAAGAATTTAGGACAGTTGGTTATCTATTATATTCTTACAGCTATTATTATTACTGTGTAGAAATTTTATTCTGATGCTGATATTCTTTTTTAAATCACATTATTGTTTACTGTAATAAATGAAATCACTGGATTGGTTGGCTTACTTTGCAATTTGGAATTACATGTAAGAAATTTCATTAGATGTTTTTTCAAAGTCACTTATGTTTCCAGTCTGTTCTACTACAACAGCACAAAACATATTTTTCCACCAGTAATTAACTTAGAAATTTTGAAATACATGTATATGCACAGTCAGCACAGACTGTTTCCAAAATGACTTGTTTACATTTTCATGTTAACCTAATTTAGTCCTTGTAGAAGTCATAAAGCAAATACCTATGCTTTACAAATAATAAGGATTTGGTATTTATTAATATTGAATTTACCTTTCAATTTTATACATCTTTTATTTTTCAATAGCCGTGAACATCTTGCTACAGAAAGAAAGGGTATTGTCCTTACCAAATTGCATAATTCCATACTGCTCAAATACGCAAAAATACTAGCCAACATTTGCAAAAAAATCCTACAAAACACTATATGAAATATGTTTCAGTTGTTTAAAGTATCACAGATACACACAAGTTGACCTTTGACAGGTGCATAATAGGCTATTCAAAAGAATATGCCTCCCTTTGATGTTGTTACTCTATCACCATCAAAGAGCCGCCGACATTCACACTTTTTGATTGAAGTTCTGTCAGCATTCTTTTGTTAAGAAAATGTATACATGTTTAATAATAGTTCAGTGTTACACCAAAAACAAAAGGAGGCATATTTTGTTGGAATATTTCGGCCTCATTTATGTTCAAATCGTAATTCACGTGTGGATTTGTACATGTGGTAATGGATGAAAAGAACCTGGAAACATTAAATATGTATTCATTATGAGTGTTTAGAGACTTAAACTAAAAAAAGGATTTAATCATTTTTTTAAAAGCATTGTTTAAATAAACAATTGTCATATGTTGGATTTACACGTCAAAAGCTGTGTGCGATGTGTTTGGAAGGACTGTGTGCGATGTGCCGATGATTACTCAAGTATTTGATTTGTTTTCTCGTTGTTTCTTTGACTTCTTAAACTTACAAACTTTTAGAAAAATCAGTTCAAATAATTATATTTTTCTGCCGAGTACAAAAAAATTATTATCTTGAACATAAGCGGCACAATACTTTTACAAAAATATCGCCGCGTCACAAACGTCAACTTTGCCGCGAAAGCCGTACTCGCCGCATGATAATAGTACATGTAATTCATAGTTTGTTTTACGTCTTTGTAGGCTGTTTTTATTTAAAAATCTTCTAATTTTTTTGACATATTGACTATTAAATTATTTTTTTTACAAAATTACAAAAGTATCAAATCCAGTACCGGTATTTTACGAAACGGTATATACCGGTAATTTACGAAGTTACTATTTGGTATAGGACCGATACCGGGAACCGGTGTCCAACCCTAGTCTGGTCTCATTGAATCAACAATGTTTAAAGGATACTATTCCCTACAACTGAGGTTTTATGCTGAACTATCGTAGTATTTTTATGGGTTAAATTGAATTTACTGTACCCTATTAGAAATATTGCTAAAATAAAACATTGGACATTTCCCCATATCACTGCTTTAGAGAAAATCTTGACCTTTTTAAATGTTCTTGTAAGATTAAATTCTAAATACATGTACTCGGCATGTAAATGGGTGCATTGGTGTATATCTTAAGTGAAAAAAAAACTTGTGTGCATATCTTTGATATGCGGGGTTAGCTTTATCACGTAAATTTGTTTAAAAATACAGTGTTCATATCACATGATCACTTTGGAATATAAAGATATATAAACTCAAATATTTAAATAAGCATTAATCCTAACAAAGATATAAGAATTATAAATGTTTTCGTCTTTACAGCTGCGATAAATACGTATGTTAAGCGTAGATTAATACTTCTAGCAACTTTACTGATATTGTTTTAGCAACACACGAAAACAACAATTCATCGGCGAAAAAACTTTTGTTAAGCTGTGAGTGAAATTTAAGATGGAGAAGAATATAATATGAAAAACATGTTTTGTCTATATTTCGTATTAATGATTATTTTTCAATAAACTATCACGTTTGTATATTTTTATAAAGCTGACAAGGAAGACAAAATAAATGCGAGACGTTAACTAGTAGTACAGTAGAAGAATGTTAATATGATACGCTCAATTCACGCGAGAGGTAAAAGGTTAAGGGCGAATAACTGAACTAGAAACTTTTAAATAAAATTAAGCAAGGTTCAAACTATATTACAAAATATTTGAAAATGACTTCCGAGATGGATTGGACTACAGAAACCTACCGACTAGACGAAGTTGAAGGAAAATTTGACTTTCCATGTGTTATACGTGTGAATGAAGGATTCTATTCAGCTACAGATGCTGAGGGATTCTCTCAAGGTGATATTTTATCTATTGATTCCAAAATGGTGTTGCATAAAGTTGCAGCAAATTTTACAGACTGTGCTGATTTGAATACCAAAGGCAGTTTAGATGAGGACTATATTGAGCTTAAAAATGAAATTCTTGTGCCGTTGAATTACAAGGGTAAACTGAAAGTTATAAGGACCGCTAAGTACTATGACAATGTAAAAGATTTAACTGCAGACTTTCCAAGATATGCAACGGTAAGAAAACAATTGGATGTAACGACTGAGGAAGATAAAATAATTACAATTAAATCAGGAACCACCATAGAACTGGATAGAATTATTCCAGGACCAATTGTTGGTTCAAAAAGACAACCAGGTAAATTGGTGGTTCGGTTTCAACATTCCAGTGGACCTTTGAATGTGGCATTGTCAATGCATGCAAATGGAAAATTCATAACAGAGCCAGATAATAATGAATATACAATAAAAGAAGCTTTGGACAGGTAAATCATGCTGTTTGACAATTAAATGAATTCAAACTTTAGTAATCTCTTACCTATTAAGATGTATCTGTTATGGAAATTAATCATGATTTATATGAGTTTTTTATAGATGACAGATATTTTTTTCCAAAACAAAATTTATCATTATTTAAACTTGGTAATAACAATACATAAATATCAGCCCTTCAAAAAAATGAAGGAAATCTACTGATCTTCAAACAATCCTTTTTAAGCTTTTCAGACCGTGATAAGATAACATATACATACTGCATATACGAAGGTTAATACATTTTACATGTTATATGTACACGAAAACTATCTGGTTTATTTGAAAGATTCATCAGTCAAACTACCACAATATTTTCGCTCATCATGTATTTTAAATTTACATTATGTCGGTCGTATGGTCGTCCATTCATTCATTCAAAACTTCCTTTCTCAAATTTCGTTTTATATAATAGAGACATGGCGCGCACTTTTTGTAATTTGACTACCGGGAAAAAGTATTCGTCATCTTTATGTATACTTTTTATCAAAATTATATAAAATTAATTGTGTCTAGTTATTCTTATATTATATCTGAATAAAGGCAACATAGTTTCAAGTGCAATTGACCATTAAAATCATTTTTTTTATTTAAACCAAACAAAGTTATCTATTATATTACATTGTACTCGTATATATCATATGAGCCGTGTCACGACAAAACCAACATAGTGGGTTTGCGACCAGCATAGATCCAGACCAGCCTGCGCATCCGCGCAGTCTGATCAGGATCCATGCTGTTCGTTATCAGTTTCTCTACTTGTAATAGGGTTGGTAAGCGAACAGCATGGATCCTGATCAGACTGCGCAGGCTGGTCTGGATCCATGCTGGTCGCAAACCCACTATGTTGGTTTTGTCGTGACACGGCTCATATATTTTGAATATTATTGATACCCAAACCTGAGCTGCAGTCTTTTGACAAATATATTTCCAGGAACTTCAGTTCACATATTGTGTATACATTGATTTAAGGATTTGAATATGACACTTTTACAAAGTATAAATAACTGTTTTGAATATACATTGGGTAAAATAAAATTATTTGAAAATATGAATTGCACGAAGCCATCGATATACCTTCAACGACAGAAAATATTATCAGTAAATAACGAATGAATTTTAAAGAGACGAATTAAAATGCTAAATCATCACGTCTTCCTTGAATCAGGAATGTCATCAATACATCTGTAGAACTCAAAAGTAAATGGACTTTTAAAAAAAATTTCAATTAGTTAAAATAAAAGGATTCTGTATGCTAGTTGTATGTATACCTATTTCATTTATTACCCCCTCCAAAAGATTGAACAATGTTGGTGGACATGATGTGTGTTAGTTGCTAACCCGTTTTCCATTTCTGTTACTAGGTATAGTCTGCCGCAGCATGTACGTTTTGTGGATGATAAACTCAAACGTGTTTATACGCAGGATCTGCTTGAGGGAATCGAAAATATGAACATTATTACAGGTGACCTTTTCACTTTTCGTTCGGAGTTTGAAAATGATATTGAAAGTAAAGAAAAACAACTTGTGTTATAAGAATAAACTATGGAAGTCCTGGGGACATTTTTGTTATGATATTTTCAAAGCCTTTCGATTTTTGTATCCATGGACACACATTCAAACAGCTTGCAATATGATCAAGTCACTATTGTTGATACAACATTGACCTTATAAAACGCATGTCTCTAAGAATCTTAGAAGCATAACAACCGTCGATTTTTTGTTCAGCCTTTATATACAGTATCACAAAAATGACCTCCTGACTATCGTACAATGTTTTATATAAGAAATTAGAAATGAGCAAACCAAAGTTTAGGAGCATGGTGAAGAACACTCGATAGTTTAGTGTTTTACGGTAGATTATCGTGTTTCATGAATGCTTTGCAAACAAAGTTTATACAGGTTTCTTGAATCACGTGTTTTTTGTATAAAGCCCAAGGTCCAAGGGTTCTCCTGATCAAGTTATAAGCTGAATTGTTTTTATCTCCTGTAACAAGAGGTCAAGTTAGCCCTACATTACGATCCTATCTACGCTGGGACAGATAACGTACACTTATCTGTCTAGAGCATTTGGTTGAGGCAGTATTTGTATTTTCTACACATTTCGCATGAAATAAGGGAGCCTAATTTAAAACAAAGATATAAACAATATATGGTCTTACATATTTATACTTGGACAACCTTTCACACTGGATGAATATTGTGATATATCAAGATAGAAGAACCTACAAGGTTTATCACTAGTTAAAGAGATTATTACCACACACATTACTTACCTGTCTGTCTGTTCTGAGATTGAATACGACAATCGGCCTTTTGTGAATATTTAATTAAGATAATGACATCAAAATTAATTTCATCTTATCAATTTATAATGATCACAGACTTAAAGCTTATACATTCAAATATTGTATTAATTATCAATTAATTATTAAGTCATGTATTAATATATGTTATAAAGCTTGATTTACAAAACACTTGGAATAATCTATTTTACATATGTTCTACCTATACTATACCGGTAATGAATTATAATTTCTTTACTGCCATGAAAAATTTAAAGTAAATACATAATGAAGCAAATTAACAACAAATGTGATAAACCTTTTAAAGTCAAAGATATATACCACCATGTTCAAAAATAAAATAAATTATTAAAATGTACTCACCACTCACATTTCATGGAATAATATAGTACATGTTTATACATATATATAAGAACAACTATTTGGAATTTTGTTCATCATAAAATGATAAATTGCAAGCCCGAAAATATTATGTATATTTACTAGTATATAAACAAATAATAATTTTATTTACAAAATATTACAAGCCCATGGATGACATGGTAATGTATACAATCGTTTTATAAATAACATACGTCAATGTTGGCATATATCAGTTCATGACTTATCACAGTTCTTATATGTGAGCATTTTGATAGCCTTACCATAAATATATCTAAACTTAATATAGACTTAATAAAAGTCTCAGGAAAGTTTTTATGTGGATTTCTATAAAGCACTAACACAGTTAACAACATTTTACTTCAATCACTTGGGTAGTAGTTCAGTCTCTTGTACAATGTATCACACCCTTTAGTGTCTCTACTTTAACACCAGTCAAACTAAGAAATTGTTCTAAACCATCTGGCTTGGCTTTCTTTTTCTATCTACTTATATCATATTTTAATGGTTCCACTTCATTGCTCCATTCCAATGTTGCCGAATCCTTCGAATAAATATATACAACAAATTAATGATACATTATATGCTTTTATTTGGAATGGAACTTCAAAAATTAATAAAAATGTGTTAGTTAAAGATTACATGGAAGGAGGTTTAAGAATGGTAAATATAAATGTTTTTATGAATGCGTTAAAACTTACATGGATAAGAATTATTTCAAGTGATGGTTGTTGGATAAGTATTTTAACACAGGGTATTGATGTACAAAAATTAGTCACGTATGGAAAGCATTATGTCGAGAAAATGTAAAAATCTATTAAAAATGAATTCTGGAAACACACTTTAAATGCGTTTTCATTTATTGAGCATCAGAAATTTGATAAAGAAGACATTTGTAACTTACCTTTATTTTACAATCACAACATTACTATTGGCAATAAAAGTATTTTTTGGAAATCTTGGTATGATAAGGGAATTCGTTGTTTTTACGATATCTTACAAGACAATGGCCAGTTTTATACACCAGAAAAATTAGGCAAGATCTACAATATAAATATCAATCATCTTTTATATTTAGGAATTAAAAAAAGCAGTTACAACCTTTTTTCAAAATTTCTGCTTCAACGCTTTAACTTTTAAGAGAGAAAAATTCCCAACAATTCCAATACACATTAAAGGGATAGTTAAAGACCAAAAAGGCTCAAAATATATGTATGATTCGCTTAATGTCAATTTCAGCAAGCCCGTTTGTCAGGTCAAATGGTCACAAAAACTATGCCTCTCAAATGATGATGAATACTGGAAGAATATAATATAATTTACCATTCAAATTGACAAAAGATACTTATATACAATGGTTCCAAGTAAGACTTATCCATAGGATTTTGGGTACAAATAATCTTTTGTTCAAAATGAAATATATTAACAGTCCCTTATGTAGCCTTTGTAATCTTCATGATGAAACTATAATACATATCTTTTGGGAATGCGTTCACAGCAATAAACTAATGCACGAAATTTGAATAGATAAACTAAACATGCCAAACTTGAATAAAAAAACTATGCTTTTTGGTTACACTAAAGGAAACAATAAATAAATATTGTAAACAATTTAGTTCTTTTATATGTCAAAATGTATATTTCTAAATGTAAAACTAATAAAACAATGCTATCTTTTGCTGGTGCTATAAAGTATATTTCATGTATTAACACATTATTGTAAGACTGTTAAGGGATGGACCTCTGACCCTTAAATAGTCATGCGACGGAGGCAATAAATGGGGTCACCTTCGAGGCCTGAAAAAAACAAAAAAAAAACAAAAAACATTTCAATTATTAACCCAACTTATGAGCATATATATCTCCAAACGTCTGTCTTAGTGACTTCATCCCGTCCATCCAGCGGTAGTGGCAGTGGTCATTATCTCCAGTCTGCTTACACCAATGTCACATAAGTTTACATTTTTATTTATTTAGTACACGAACATTTTCAGACTTTATACCCTGACAAATTTACCGATATCAGTCTATATATGAAACTATATTAATCTCGATTCAGAGCCTATTTCCATATAAATATGTCAAGTTATATTTTTAGTCTTTTGTTAAGTTGGTGTAAAGGAAACAATTTGAATGTCAGGGTCGAACATAAAATCGTATAAAATATTGCCATGATTTATGCATAGAACACAAAATAAAGTATCATTACAACAATTCATATTCCGAACAATTCAAAACAATTAAGTAATTGTTTAAGTTGATATAAAACAAATCTTACCATGTTCAACAAGTTCTTCTTCTATATTAGCTATGATTTTAGCTTCAGTTATAATATCTTTGACATTTTCAAATATTTTTCAGAAACATTACGATTGAATCGCCTTGTCACACAGACAGTTCTGGTTGGACATTATAAGCCATTAGATGGCAATGTATCGAATGATACTGAGAGATTCCGGCAGAGAACTCTGGCAGTATTACCTATGAACAAGCCTGAGATTTGCGAAATAGAGGTGAATGTTTCGAAGTGTGTAACCGATGATATTTACGAACAAGTCTTCCTCGTCAGAAACGTTTCTCATTCTAACACTGAGGAAATAGTAGATGGATCACTGTATGTAGATTTTGCAATGACACCAGGAATTAAACTGATTTCCCAAGAAGGTATATCTTTTTCATATTTAATTCTCGCATCAGATCAAAGATTTCAGCATAGAAAGTTACAGAGATTTTTATTGTATACATCAAATTGAATAAGGTTAGTTCTGCGATAGTTGGTATTCATGTACAATAAAGAAAAAAACCTGTGAAAAAGAGATATGATATCAAAACAATGGATATTTTATTAGTAATAAAGACTTTTGACAGGTTGTTTGTAAATATAACCCGAGCCGATAGGCGAGTGATATATCGCAAATAGCCGTTTATATACGGCCATATTTCCTGTCATTTCTATAACGAATGATATAATACAATGTTCTGCAAATTTCTTTTTTTAAGACAAAAGTCAGATTTCTTTATGAACTGATAGCATTTTATTAGTTTTAAAGATTTTTTGACAGGAAATATGACCCTATATAAACGGCCATCTTGGAAGTGTAACCCGAGCCACCAGGCGAGGGTTATATTGCCAACATCCGTTTTATACGGTCATATAAGACCGTTTATATACGGTTACATAACCTATCAGGAATATTTATAACGAATTTTTAATACAGCAAACATCCTTACTTGAGAAAAAAGTGAGATTTATTAGAAAATTGACAGCAGCCGTGTATATTAAAGATCGTTGACAGGTTATATGGCCCTATATAAACGACTATTTGTAAATATAACCCGAGCCGTAAGGCGAGGTTTATATTGCAAACAGCCGTTTGTATACGGCCATATAACCTGTCAACAATATTTATAACGAATTTATAATACAGCAAGCACCATTTTTATAGAAAAAAAGTAAGATTTCTGCGCCGTGTATATAAATAGAGGATATTTGTTTAGTTCAGTGTAAGATCGGAATATATTTCACCGAGTGAGCACCAAAAGGTATATTTCACGAGTGGCGCAGCCACGAGTGAAATATGAACTTGTGGTGTTCACAAGGTGAAATATATTTCAATCTTACACTAAACTAATCAAATTTTCTTTTTATTACATACAAAGAAACGTTTTAAAAAAACAGTAAACCAAATACTGAATGAAAAGCGCGCCAAATAATAATACAACGTGACGTCATTAAGTTGGTACACAGTACTGTGCACGCTAGTATTTCACTGAAACAACGTAAGGGGCTTAAATTCAAAGCAGTGAAATTACCAAAGTGGTAATTTCACTGTTTCAAACAGTGAAATTACCAGTTTTATATCACTGATATATTTCTATAAACCACCGAAAAGCATGTAATAAAATTATATAAACGTCAAGATTATCCAATAAAAATGACGTTACAAACGTGCAGTATTATAAAAAACTAGGATTTAACTCAATACAGGATTGGAGCAGTACCTCAGACTACCTCTAGACGCTTGCAGAAATCATGATCACAAAATAGACAGATATCGTTTTTTTCGCCGATTTTTACATTTTTCCTTCATTATCTTACTTAACTCGGTGTGAAAAGATGAATTAGACCTGTTAAAGTTCATTCCGTTGGGTAAAAAGACAAGATTTTAGCATTTTATCATTCAAGCGCCTTGTCCGGTATATACCGGAATACGGTATTTAGTGTGGTGCTCCAATCCTTTTTTTAGTCTCACTCAAAAAACTATATAAACGTCACGATTATCCAATGAAAAGTGACGTTTCAAACGTGCAGTATTATAAAATTCATTTAAATCGTTTTAATTTGATTTCATAATTTTCATTTTATATTTATAATCATATCAATATAGTATTCATTTCTATTGATAAATCAAGCACTAATATGCAGTTATGCACTGTGCAATATGGACTTATCAAGGTCTAAATTGTTTAGCCCTTAAAAACCCTTTAATTTATTTTGAAATTATTATCCTTTCTTTGTAATTTTTTAAGCAACTTTGAAACTCTGAATGGTTGAGCTTTATCTTTAGAAAATATCATGGCTAGAAAAATGACGGGTTCAAAACAGGAAGACATGTCGAAATAAAAATGCAAATAATGATTGAAAAAAAAATGCACAGATCAGAGCAATCAAAGTGGATTGTGTCGGGACCTGCGTTTTCTTTCTTATTTGTCAAGGGTATATCTTCTATATACAATGGGAATGAATTACAGCGCCAACAAACTTCAACAGCGATTATTTTTGCACCTTTGTACAACTGTTTGATCGGATAGAATCAAAGGTTTAACAATAAGATGTTTAGCACACTTATGACCCGTCTAGACCGAGAAAGGGATTGAATCAAAGATCGCGGATATTGAAACATGTTGATAGTATGACAATACCTGTTGAAAACAAAGCAATATTTGGAAACAAAGCTTTCAAAAATAAAAAAAAAATGATAATAAACTGAAAAAGAGATGAAGTAGAGAAAGTAGACATTGCAGTCATAAAAAGGTAAGAGCATGTCTGATAATTTGTTGTTCTTTGAGGATGAAAAGAAAAGACGGATAAATATTTAAATTGTTTCGGAGGAGAAGGGTCTTGAAAACGTCCCTACTAATATCAAACCATACCTAGCACATCGTTAATAGAAGTTTCCCATCGCTAGACCTGAAGTGGAGTTTTGCATATTTCCCATATCATAGTTTATTTTTACAAAGAATACTTTCTTTTCAGAGTGATAGCCCATTTAACTTCGTTGCAATAAGTCAAGTACATGTGAACTTCCTTTTTATAATTTCGTAAACATTCCGTTTCTTTTGGCTTTTATAATCTCTTATTTTCATTTAAAAAAAAACGCAGGAATTATTGGGGGCAAGGATTATCTCAATGATTTCAATCTTCATGTAGGCCTTGATCAATCCAAACAATGACCCTTATGTTTTCCATATCTTATTTTATTTATTATTTATTTTATTTTATTTCGTTTTTGTAAAAGATTTTCGATTTAACATGTTTTAATACTTTTTACCGCTAACTTCATCTCTAATTTTGTTTAATTATTTAAACATTGTCCCAGAAAATTCCCCTGTTCATTCTAAATATGAATGTGATGCACTTCTAAAAATAGAGACTGGTGTACATTTTTATCAAAATAAAGGATATGTGTATATGTTTTCAAGGATACACATTTAAAACCAAATTATTTATACCGCGGGCGTCAACAGATCGGATTTCAAACCGGTTTGGGGAACAATGAATTACAGCGTATTTTATTATCTGTTATCTGCGCCCTCGCTTGCTCATTTTCATTTTATCAACTTTGGATAAGAAATACCCACAAATGCAATACGCCCCGGTTATAGGGCAAAGTTTGTTAGTGAGAAAGTAACTAATCACATATCATTCGGCACTTCTCTTTGTGAAACCTCCTGCTATTACATTTATGGAAGACAATGAATAATGACCAAATCTTAAAATCTTATAACTGACAACATAACATAAACAAACAAAATAGCGGACTGTAGTTCCAATATATCGCTTTGTTGTGTAAGAGGTCTATTGCGAAGAATAAAAGCCGAGAATATATCATTGTTAAATTATTCAAATCAATTCATTAATGTTATTGCATTAAACATTTTACAATGCTTATGACACATACAAATATAAACATTGGCAAACGAAAAAAATATACAAAAAGAGCAAGAAGTAAACAAAATATTTTTCCTTCAGGTTATTACGAATCGCGGATTTTATTTGCAAAGAAAATAAATTTCACAAGTTGGAAAATTGACTTTTTTGACTTAGAGTTCATTAATAGTTCGAACTTATATTAAGAGGATATTTTTTCGTTTGAGTGAATTGAGTGAAATATGGAATATATTTTCACGAAACATGATAAAATGCCACATATTTTAAAGCAAAATATGAAGCATTTTATCATGTTGAGTGAAAATATATACCATATTTCACGAAAAACGAAAAAATAACCTTTTTATTTAATTTCATTATCAAAGAGTAATGGTTATGAACCTCCTTGCCTGCTACGCAACTGCAATTATACAGCGCGGAGCAAAATAAGTATCGTCTTGTTTTGCACGCGATATTTAGCGCTAGATTGTGACGTCACGTAAAAAACTTTTTAAACGTCTGTACAGCGTTAATGACTGAATGAAAGATATTGGTGTTCGGATTTATTTTCTTAGTTAGACCATTTTCTATCATTCTAGATAGTTTTCAAAACAAAAATTCAACAAAAAGTTGTTTGTATTTATAAGATTTTTCAAACAAAATGGCGAAAGAAGTCCCTTAAAATAAATATGAGTTTTGACTCCGCCCGCTTTCATATTTATATTTCATATTTATTTTTAAAAAAATATGAAATATATTTGACTGAATTAGCACCTATTCATGGGTAAAATTAAAAAATTTTTTAAAATTTAGTTTTTATAAAAAAATTAAACCCAGTCAAGTTTCATTCTTTTTTTTATTAAAAGAACAAAACCAACTTTTATTTTAAACCCAAAAACAAAAATTGACCTAATTCAAAAAAATACAAAGGGCCCAAATTTTACGTTTTTCCTCTCATCAATTTTTGACTAAAAACTGGAGACTTTAAAAAATATCGATAAAAATTTGTTTGGAATTAGCCAATTTAGTAAAGTGTTGATTTTTGAAGATGAATTTCAAATTTTTGTATGGGTTTCATTGAGGCCCAAACTGCAGCAACGTATTTTGGGCCCCAACCTTATAAAATTCTGGAAAATTTTTCCCATTTTTATTAAACGTAGGGTTGCTTGATTTACGTATTTTTAAAAAAAATTTTTTGACAGTTTATATCTTTTAATATGTATGTACAAATTGATAGATTTTAGTGAAGTGGCTTCGTTCAACATAAGAATTCGGTGATTGATTAATAGTTGCCCAACAATCAGCCCGTTGCCTTGTTTTCCCTTAATATGAATCAATCCGGTACCCTAAAAAGGTACACGGTTATCATAAAAATTATTACTTCTTATTCATTACTGGACAAAACATTTTACTAAAACCACTAAATTACCGCGGAATGATATTTTCTTCTTATTATAATTTATCACGAATTACCTGGAAAAAAACAAAGATGACAATGATTTTTTTTTTGGCAATTTTATGCTAGTGTTTACTACTTCTTCACTGACATGTGAAATTTGTTTTTCGATTCGATAAAAGACCGTTAACAAACCCTATCAAGTTGTATATGAATTCCTTAAACATTACAATGATTCGTGCAAGTAAAACATTCGAAGACTAACAGATGCAATTTTTTTTTGTGTTTTTGTGTTTTTACCCCGTCAAGCTCGAAATCCATTTTATCTAAATTCGGTGCCATAAATCAAAATCAGTTCAAAAACGGGGGAAAATATTCTAAAATCGGGCCCAAAAGCTAGATTACTAGGGTTGAGACAGTTTTTATGTTTTGATAATTCTTTTCTTTTTAAATAAAAAACCCCTACTAAAATGATTTTCTTTGCGAAAGCGATTTAAACTGTAGTTTAAAATTTTTAAAAATGTAAATTGTTTAAAAAATTTAAAAAAATCTTTGAGGTTTTTTAAAAAAAACCCGTAATTATCAAAAATATTTTGCTTTTTCTTTAACAACAAGCAAATAATGGGAAGTTAATATGAAAAATTTAATATATTTTAAATTGTTCAATTTAAATTTTATTTTTCGAATTTGTCAGAGTTCTTTTAAAATAGGTTTACTTCATGAAAACGAGATGGCTGGCCCTATTTTGTTTTCGTTTGAAACATTTCTGTTATTATATTCTAAAATCAATCATAGTTTTAATAAATTATGTTGTACAGTTTTCTTTGTTCCTTTATGATATCGTGTCGTGATTTTACAGAAGTTTTAAAAAAAATGTTTCCATTTCGATGCATATCTCTTACACTAGTATCCGAAATCACTCTTATTTCAATATGCATTTTGTAAAAGAAATATTGCAAAGCATAGTTTATTATTAGCATTATTTTTAACAAGATAAACCACTTAATTCAAATTGCGTTTTTCTTTCGAAAACAAATATTTCATTTCAAATATACTCAACGTTCTAAATCTCAATTTTCAGAAGATGTAAATTATGACGACACACCTCCACCTCGGCCTCCTAAACCATCAAATATAGCACCGGAAATTGGTGAGCTTATCTCTTTACAATATCCATTCACAAATGTTCTGTTTATCTTTAAAAAAAGAAGATAAAAATACACCGAAAAGTAATAAAAATTAGGTCAGTTAAGGAATGTTTCTATATAATTAAAAATTTTCACCTTAGGTTGTTTTTGCGCTTTAATGGTTTCGAAATGTACAGATGCATAAACATTACACCATTGCCTGATAACCAGTAAGCCAAATATTTGAATTTTACTATTTGTTATAAATGAGTATGTATCAAATTAAAGTACATATATCATTGTGTTATATAATTCTGCTACGTGCATTAAATGTGTATACATTTAAATAAGTACACATCTTGATAAGCCAATTAGCTTTTCCGCTTGTCAGTATCAAATTTTATTGTCCATAGCAATGCATTCCCTATCATTTCAGGACCAAAGCCAGTTTCGAGAGTGAAACAGAAAAAGAAAGCACTGTCTCTGGATTCAAGTAACATGGTTGTTAAGAAGGACATTAAAGATGATGATGATGATGAAGATAGTGAAGGAGATTATATATTCCCTAAGGCTAGAGCAGGTATGTACATTAATTTTTACATAAAAATGTTTTTCACTTAATAATTTCTTCTCATTTACGGCAAATAACTGCAATACTTGAAGCTTTAAACAGATTTCTTAGATATGACATACGGGTAAAGCTCTTTTCTGTGAAAATAAATCGCTGATTGTAAGAGGGTCACGTTATTTACATAATAGCTATGCATAGTGATGATATATCGTAACTTTTATTACACTCGTACATGGTTTAACAGCGAAACCCTTTAACATTTTAAAGTTTTTGGGAAAAATTTAATGATTTAAAAGAACTGGATTTCGTTTTTTAATTTTTAAAGAAAACCCGGGTTTTTAAATTTTATTTAAATAAATTTTATGGTTGGGATCTTTCTGGGTTTGCCCCGTTTTTAGCACTTTTTTTGTGTTTTTTTGAAGTAAGATTTCATGTTTCTATCTAAAAGGGGAAAAAAAAATCTTTGTTAGTCTAATAAAAAATCTGTTAATTTTTCGTTTTAAAAGAAAAACCCAAAATTAGGGAAGTTTAATAGGGAAAAGCGATAATTATAAAGGCCAACTGTTGGGGAAAAAATATTTCCCCCATCATTTCCTTAAAACCCTTGGAAAGAATTGTAAAACATTATATTTAATAACGGCTTTGTGGCAATTTAAAACAAACTAAACAAAATGGACAAAGGGAGACCATTAGTATTAAGCTAACCTTGTCAGTTTTATGGTGAAATAAATGTTTGTTCTTTTTCCTTAATCTTCTTTTAGAGCGGCGGTTTTCATGATTTAACATTCATTTTCAACGACGTAATAACACTTCATGATGAAATTGTTATCTTATAGTTTGGTCAGGTACAATCAAAGAACTATTTGAAATATTGTACCTGTTTAATATTGATTTGTCACTTTTTCCTGCAAATAATACAACATTTTTTTGTGTACATAAATTCGTACTATATTTACAAATAATCATGAAACGACCACGAAAATCTCATGTATACATTTAAGAAACATGACACGTGCTTCTTCCTGTTTATCTTCAAATTAACAGTACTTCGACAATTTCGGTTTGTAAATTCATACCAGGCAAAGTTCATGTCCATTTTGATTGGGACAGACTATTGACATTTCTCTTCTTGTATGTGCGATTTGATTTTTAAGAGACAATCTTATCTTTTTATTAATTCAATTGCTTTACAGTTTAAGTTTTGTGACTGTTTACAAATTACACTTTTAGTTTTGTTTTGTTGTTGTTGTTTTCTGCAATTAGAATGAAATAGTCAAATTAATATTTACAAGAATTCTTTTCAAAAAGTTTCAGAGAGTGATAATATCTCCGGGTTCAATTTGGCTGATTTGGACTTCAAGGGTAGTGGTAAGTATACATGTATAGTTCCAGTTTGTAAAACACGTTGCAATTAATATTCAAAGCGTAAGATTAGAAATACACTGTACCATTTAATTTACACCAACATTTTGATATTCATTGACCATTGAATTGGACTATCCAGTATTTTCTATTCTCAATACAACAAAGGTCAAAGGGTAAAATTGATTTTCAAAATATCTGTTACAATATGAGATTAAATATCCAGTTTAGTTTTTTTATAGAGAAGATTTTAAACTTAATTTCAGAAACTGCGACTAACTCCTCGACTTTGGTAAGTAAACAATTACAAAAAAAAATCTATGAAAAAAATCAATTTATGATTTGTATGATCAAAAAGATCGTCACAATTTTTACATAAAAAATTTATGTTGTTTTCGTATTAGAGCTTCATGAGAATTTATTAATTATTTGTTCTGATGCCTTATATCTTTGAGCTTTTATTGCGGTATAACGATTCATTCATTTGAAATTACCAGACTTCATCAATGTAGAAAAACGAGCAATCTCCATTTGTAAATTTAGACATCTTTTTGCAATACATATCTTTTTTTCTTATATAGAGAAAGAAAATCTACAAAAAGGTTGCCACAAATATATCAAATTTAAAAAGTTCATTCAAAAATTTAACTACTTCGAGGGACAAACGAGAATCAATTGACTGTAAAACAAAACTTGAGAGTAGTGCACAGTTTATTCCTGAGGACTCTAATGCTGGTCAGGAATCAGACAATTTGTATTCAGACATTAATGAAGATACAATGTTGGAAGCTTGCAGTCAACAATCTCCAGTATCAAAAACATTGGACGGTGGAAAATATGATGATACTTATCTTGGAGCGATCAAATATAAAGAGGAGTCCGATAAACCAATGGCCCTTGTGCAACCTGTTAGATCACACCATAAAGGAAAGGTTAAAGCTTTTAAAGACTTAAACAACACAGAATTGGTGGACAGACTTCGTCAGTGTGGACTTAAAGAAATGTCAGATTTTTGTCATAGAGAGATGCTTAACGGTTCGTTTTTTAATGATATATCTACAGAAACATTGCAGAAAGATCTGAAGTTAAAGGGGATCCAGTTGACAAAATTTGTACAGATGAGGGATGCAAACTGGGTTCCCAGATAAAATAGATTATTCTGAAATCAAACTATACAAAAAACGATGCCATTTATATCATATTGTTAATGTTTATAAAACATCTCCTAATATATATTAGACAGCTGTGAACCCCGCCCAATAGAAATCAAACCAAATCTGAGAGCATTTCATTTTCCTTACATTTTCAATCTAATTTATGTTGATTACACGATTAAAGACTACCTTTCTATATATATATATATATGGTTTAAAGGATCAAAATTCAAGAGCTAAATGGTAATCCTTGAAGATTTTGATTTTGTGGCAAGAAATTCTAGATATATGTGATTTATGTTGCTAGATAGAGTGTGAGCTCTCGGAAGCATTAATTACGGTAAAATAACATGAAAATTACAACTATTACTTTGCATATAATTGAGTTGAATGCATATTATTGAGTTGAATTAAAGTAATGTATTAAACTTTAACATATCAATTTTGTATAAATTACTTATCTATATATATGTTTTCTTCGTTAACTCGATTATTTTAAAACACAAGCCGGCTATAGGCTCGTAACTTCTTGTATCTCTTCTTTCCAGAATTTATATATAAACTAACAACAGCAGGTGTAGCAACTGTAAAATTTGTACTGTGATTCTTCATCGTAGTGTTGTAATACTTTTCTTTTCCTTCTGGATAATTGGTTCAAATACTGTAAGTGTTTGCAATTGAATATTGCTCAAACTTGTGCAAGGGTCGTGAGATATGTAGCATTTTCCATTTTCTCTCATGAACAGACTTAATAGAACATAGTCTGTGGTTTTCTACTGATGCTGTAAAATGATTTGTTAAGTTTTTATGAATGCATTGTTTAAAATAATATTTATCCAATAATAAACATAAAATATATTTTGAACATTGCTCAACAAGTTTTGAAAATGATTGCCCAATCGAACACAATCAATAACAATATGCATGAGTTTAGATTAACACAGTGTACTGTTAATACTCATTTGAAAATAAAGGTATGTATTTTTCGACAATAATTCCTAATATTTAGAAGAAATGACGTATTCGACGAACTGATGTACTAACAATCAATTAAATAGATGTATTTATCATCCGACCAATGCATGGCTATGTCCGACGTGAAATATTCATGATCAGGCGTTTAATACATGATAAAAGTTCAATCTCGATTGGCTCGAACTACCGATATCTCGAACGAATTTGCACAGGGCCTTCGAGTTCAAGAGAACGTAGTTTGAATGTATTTGTTTATGTTTTCATCGCTCATCATATCAGAATAAATCTAAAATATCATTAGACCTGTGTTTCTAAACCGTGCCTGCATGGAATAAACCAACAAATAAATAAAGCTTTGGCTGTATGTTTTGTTTGAAAGATGTCATTGCCAATATTTGTGAGGCTTTGGATGTGGCTTATCACTTTTTATTTGCATAACTGAACTATATAAGGATAACTAACATTTCATTCATTTCTTGTTACCATTGTAAACAGTATTATTTTGTATGTAATACATGTATATTTTTCTACCACAATAGTATTTGTCATTTTAGAGTAAATGCTATTGACAACATTTGTAAATATTGTGTTTTGTTACTTTCTTCCACCTGACTCACCAAAAGTCTTATTTATCGGTACATAACTACGATATTTTAAAAAATATTCAATCACTATTAGAGTCTATAAGACTGTGAATAAATAATTTATGGTAAAATGACAAAAAAGAACTTGATATAGAACTGAATATAACTGAATATACATGTATATTCAGAAACTCTAGCATGAAAATAAATTAAGTAAAGATATGTCGGTAAGAAGCAAACGCATGTTATTTATATTTTTTTTATAATGAAATAACGAAAATTCTTCAAAAACACTTTTATAAGATCTTGTCTTTAAAAAACTTTTAATGTTGCATTTCTGGAAATTCTCCGGGAAAATATAGATTTTCTACATCTTTATTCACAACGTATTTAGTTGCACGATTTTGTGTTGATAACCGATAATTTACCAACGTTAATTCGCACCTACGAACATTGTTAAGAGATTCTTTACACAAATAGCAGTCCAACCCAACATTTATGTCGTAATACACAATACCGTGTTTGCTATATGAAACGACTATTACAGATTTTACAAATGTAGCCCGTGTGAAGTTATCTAAAGTTAAGATTGTCACAAGGAAGTACAGATAAAGTTGTACGTACATATTTTTATCTCAACTTGTTTACCCACGTACAACTGGAATGTTACAAACTTTTTTGTAGGTTAATAAATGTGTCCAATAATTACTTGTTATCCTAACTAGAAATGAAACGCTTGACTTCCTTTTTGCACATTCAAGACCATATAGCTTCTAGCTTGGTTATTATGCCTACGTAACATTACAAGCGGGGACCGGCCGATGTAGAGGGATCGATGGGACACCGTTGATAATTTGAGATCGAAGAGAAACATTTCAATCATGTCCGGAAAGAAGTGGGTGGTCATTCACCCTCTGTGGTCCTGTAGTTATTCGGACGGACTCCGAAGGGTATTCATCCGGTCACCCGGTGAAAACACACTTGGCATCTTCTTTCTGGACACCGATCGATATTCTTAAGTAAATCGGCAGAGTATCGTAGGGTAAATGTCCTATTGCCCTCCTTTATTCAGCCGGTTTGCAGTTATCGTACAGTGACTGTAAAGTATACGGACAAAAGACGTGCGATATCCGACCAGCTGTCGGACGGTATTCGTATGGCATGCTCTCCATTTTTCCTGCCGTTCTTCGTGCCCCCTCTTATGCTGGTCCTTTCCCTTGTTTTCTGGGTTAACTTGCCCTCTTCCCCTCTTGACTTTTTTCTCACCTTTCTTTACTGGCTGTTTTGGAAGGCTTATTACACATTGAAATCAAAGTTTTCGATAAAAAGATTGTAAATGGAACTAACATATGACGTGTGTGAACACGTAAGAACTGTCAATGAAAGTACATTTGTATATGTGTGAAATTATTAAGTTTCTTAATTCTTGCCATCGGTTGCCCCGTACAGGCGAGTCCCCCAGAAGATAAGATACAACAAGAAGCCCCAATTTCAGAAAAATATAGAACACAAGATTAACAAGGAAGGGCTGATTCAATGAAAGAAACCCGACACAATACAACAACACAGGACCGCCAACAAGAAGCCTAGCAGGACACCAACAAACCAGGAGAGTGCACAAGGCAAAGCCTTTAAGCACTTTTACACGGGACCTCAATTGTAAGTCTGGACCAAAAAAGCTCACAGAAATTTCAGTTGGCCAGCCCGGGAATCGAACCCACAATGTCGAGATTACAAAATAGAGAAAATAAGAATCCCTAAAGAAAGCCCAAAACAACAAAGTTGAAAATGTTGCAGGCTCGGTTTGATTGAGCCTGTTCATGGACGGTACTGTAAAGTGCAAACTACCGCCCACGCCCCCTAGCACCGGCTAAAGCAGAATTCAACATTTTAACATGAAATAGGAAAATTTTGAATTTAGAAACATCCGCAGATGTGTTCATACGGCGGTTACCATTGAACCTTCAATGTGACACTTTCGTGCCATTCCATGAAATGCGGCGGATGCTCCCCAAGTAATAGAAAGCGTGTGCCCTAAACGAGAAAACAGTGGGCGGAACTAAATAAAATGGAATTCTGTAAGGGGATCAAAGGTTATGAAGCCTGCATATCACAGATAAGACGTCAAAAGACAAAATTAAAAAGCAGGCAACATGTCCTAATGGTGATTCAACATTATTCAAGAAGAAATATTGGAATCACCCAACTAGAAAATGCCGAAAAGTTAAACTAAAAATACCATAAGCACAACAATAATGTCGTGCTGAACGATCTTTAAGGATCGGAAATATTACATCTCTGACTGAATGTACGGGGAGACTTTTTACAGCCGCCACACGGCACAAATAACACGGATGTGATCATTAAAAAGGTAAAAACAGAATCCCTAAAGAAAGCCCAACACGGCAAAATTGAAAATGTTGCAGGCTCGGTTTGATTGAGCCTGTTCAGCCTAACTACTACAAGTCTAGCGATTAAACCGATTGAACTCTGCAGACTGGTTAACGAGAGAATGGTATTAAGTGATGGTGTTTGTGATTTTTCCTCCGGATCACGGCAGTAATTCAGCTTGTCAGAGCGCAGTTTAGCCTTAGCATCGTTCCTTGACAGTCTGTTAAGCAGGTATACATTAATAATCCCCTAAACTTTAGCAAGGAATTGATAACTTCTGTACATCTAAAGTGAACTTCACCGTCCGAGAATGGAACACGGGTCGCCTAGTTCACATTCCAACGCTGAACCTACCGTAACACTATCCTTAAGGGCACCTTAAGACCATACGTGCAATATACTCCCAGCCAGTTACCTGCCGAGTCGTCTTTGGTGAGTAGATCCCCTATGTAAGTAGATTTTAAAAGCACAATTTATGCATTATATCTCAACAGAGTAGCATTTAAATTATATACAGCTGTCTTATTCTATCGGGCAGTAAGTAAGTATCCAGTTGAAAATGTGTTTTTCAATATAATATTACATGCTCATAGAGGTCTATTTGTTAGTTAAAAATGTCATTTATTTTTTATTTTGATTTGGGTCATAATCGTCAGGGCGATATCTATTTCAAACAGTGGATTCCTTTGTAAACGACCCTTTACAGGACTGCACTCTCCCAAGTAAGTCGCAACAGGTAAACATATCAACCCTGGTACTAAGGATGATTTGACATTGACAAATCTCTAGATAAAAAGAGATCTTAAATATCTTCAATGATGGACCATCCGCCTGTTAGGCACAGACACAAGTATTTGCCCCGAACATGTCACTAGTCATGTCCTTCAAGGATTATTCTGAAGCACAAAGTGGTCATAGTTTACTCTGCTTAATGTTCATAGAGTATAAACCAAATACATATATATGAAATTTGAGCCGAAAGTAGGTGACAGTACAGCGCTTTTTGAGCACCTCAGCTATACAATTAGCCGACACACCATGATAAGGTGAGGTGGGCGTGATAGAAGCTGTTGGTTCCAAGTAAAGAGTCTACCCATTAAGCGTCATTCAGTACCAGAGGCTCTTGCATCCTTGTACCCTTCCACGTTGTTCTTGCCTAATCTGTAGGGCCGCTCCCTCGACTTCGGTCAAGACATCGGCTGTTGGTCCACAAGAGCTAAAATAAGGTCTTACTAATAATGATATTTCACCGTCCTAAGTTCTTCAAATTATTCTGCCGACCTTTCACTCTCAACGACGTAACTTACCGAGATGAAGAGGGAGAGAGGAAGGGACAGTAGAAGAGAGAACTTTGTACTCATCGCTGTATTGGTAACGTTTAAGATGAACACTTAGGTATAAGAATTATTTCAGTTACAGACTAAACAAACATTTGATTATATCGTACATAGCAATAAGTACACTGAACATATATGTTAAAGGACCATTAACTAAATATCAAACTAATATTCAAAACATAGTGGATGAAAAGTTTCCTCTTCACTGTTCACTTATAAAATTTCAGAATAAGAAGATGTTGCTTACTTGAATATTCTATTGAAATTAAGATCAAATTCTGAATAATGTCATGCAGGTTACTACATAATCTAAAAAAGTGTGCACATTTATTTCTCACGGTTTTCCCTGAAACTTCAATTCAATTATTGGTTAATATGAGTTTTTTTATATAAAAATGTGTATATTTTTAGAAACAGTGATTTTCAAATTTAAACGGCATACCCATGCCTACCTCAAAATATTTCCCCGTTAATTTTCATTAGGGAATTCAGGCTGTATTATCTATTTAGGACGACTGATAACATTGTTTTTAACGCCAGCATAATAAAGTTATGTCATGTGGAAGTGACATATAACGAGCCTATTTGTACTTTAATACTGTGATTTAATCTATGTGAGTCATCTTGAACCTGAAGAAGATATTTAGTCAAAATCGTTTGCATGCCCATGTACTAAAAATATTCCTTCCGTATCAACATATAAGATGTAAGTTTACATAAATAAAATTATTTCCAATAAATAATTAGGTTTTTACATTTACTTAAAGCAGCAGGCCTCCAGATTCGTGTTAATTTTCATGAAAAATTTGGAAATGTATTTAAAAGTAAACTATTGTGAGGTGAACAAACATATTGCAATCGGCACTTACAATCCAAGAAAAAAAAGTCGTCAACATATGCAATAATAGCCCTTACTGCGTTTGTAACGCAGTAGAATATGGTAAAAAAATACTGCAAAATCAGGCTTTAATCTTACATAACATGAACAATATAACTTGGATCTTGAATGTTTTTACCTTTCTTAAATTATTAGTACATTGTCCTATTATTGATTTTCTTGAAATAATTTTGCTCGTCTGGAGGCGTGCAGCTTTAAACACAATTATATGAATTTCTATCGATTTTAAACAATGTATTTTACATATATTTAATATTGGTTAAAGCTGTAATTCAAAACGCTCAAATATTAGGTGGGTTATCACGTGTTTTATTGTGTAATCAATAGACGTATGTGCACGTAAAAGTTGAAGGTTGAATTGCAATCCAGGAAGATTTATCTTCTTTTCAAAACGGTTGAAACTTGTCCTTTTATTGTTATACACAACAGCCATGAATAAACACGATTTAAAAGTTAAAAAAAACTACCAAGATTCAGTAAAATGATTTTGAGTTAGAAAGGGTTAGTAAATATCGGTAAATAAGTGATTGTGGATTAAATGTGTTAAAGCGAAACAAAAAGAAAATGCAGTGGTCTGAGGATTGTTACCGACTAGATAAAGTGACTGATATATTTGGCATGCCGTGTGTTGTAAGACTTGAAGAGGGTTACCTACCTCCTGACGAAGCTGAAGAGTTTGCTCAAGGAGATATCATTACGCTTGATACAGAAATTCCCTCTGACAAAGTTGGAGCATACTTTATTCAATCTGATGATAAAGATAAAGAAAACGTCAAAAAGACACCTAAAACACCAGATTATGGAGTTCTTACATCAGATAGCCAGGAAGTCTTTTTGCCGTATAGTTATGATGGTAAATTAAGAGTGTTGAAAAAGATTGTGAAAGTACAAAATGTAAAAGAACTCGCAGAAATCTTCCCAGGTTATGCTGAGCTTGAAGGGAAACTATCAATTAAAACTAATAAAGGTGAATCAATTACACTAACAAAAGGGACCACTATTGAACTGGACCGAACAATTCCCGGCTCGAATTCAGCACCAGATACGCTTGTTATCAAATTTGAACATTCTAAGCAAGAAAAAGTTGCTGCAGTACCTTACACTATGAAAGGAAAATTTCACACAAAAGCAGATTTAAAAAAGTATACCATTAAAGAAGCAATCGAAAGGTTTGTATTATAACCTACGAATGGCGTTTTGAAGCTGAAAGTTCATGATCAGTATAAAATAATAAATAATTAGATACCCAATATTCTAGTAATTCTACAAATTTCTGTTTCATTGCATACATGACCTAGAAGTGGCTCTGCCAATCATGCTAGACAGGAATATTTAACTATATACTTTAAATTGTATGCTTATTGTAGGAATATGATCAATTTGGATAATGCATTTTTGAAGTCAAATTGTTTCGGAACGTTAATAAAACTTAATTATTCAGTGAGACAGTGAACAACTGTACGCAATCTCATGTTGAGTTTTAATCATATACTATTTATTTAAAGCCTCGGGCAAATGCTTAACTAAGTCTATGCTTATATGCTAATATCAACGACTATAATGAAGTCGTTCTTTGTTCTTTGTAAATGAGGAAAAAAATTTAAAGGCACATTATGCCTCAGAAATGTATAGTTTTCTTCCTTAGAAAGGGCAAAAATAAGTCTTACAATGTTAAGATAATTGTTTTAGAGCATGTTAGAGGCTTATCATCTAAATTATAAATCCTAAATCTGAAATCAGTGGTCATAAAAGTAGCAAAATGTAAACAAAATAGTATTTTGACTTCCATACAAAATAATACTATATTACTATAAGAGTACTTATTGCCAAAGAGCAACAGAAGCAAAATATAGTTCAGGTCATTGGCTAGGGAGTAACGTTTTCGAAATTGTATCAGAACATCAAAAAAAAATCTTTTGAAAAATAAAACCATTCATTTCTAGGGAATGATGGACACTTAAAAGCGTTGAAGTCAGTCATTCAATATACTTTTATTTATTTCAACAACATTTGTACTTGCCGGCCAGATGTGTAAAAATGAAGTCCATGGTTCGTAAGGAAGTTAAATATGAACTGTTTCTATTTTAGGTTATATTTACAATCTATACTATTATCGATTTTGATTCATATTATAAATCACAAACAAACGAGGGAGAATTGAGTCCACGATATAATCTATTGACATGTAATATTTATAACAGCAAAAGATTAATAATTTTATGTTATCTATTATCAATGTTAGATAAATGTGCATGTTTGACACCATATCATTCTAAACAATTATATGATTTTTTTTTTGATTTTTTTTATTTTTTTTATTTTATTTTTTTTTTTTTTTTTTTATTTTATTTTTTTTATTTTTTTTTTTTTGGGGGGGGCGGGGGGGAGGGTGTAGTTGTTTTTTATGTGAATTAAAGGTACGAATACTGCCTAGGCTTCCAATCAGCCAATGAAATAAATATAGTACGAAAATACATGTCTAGCATTGTAATTTTTACCATACAAACAAGGAAATTAATATGATCGTGTTTCTACATATTTTACTTATATAGGTTTCATGTGTGCAAGTTTATTTCCTACTATTACGTGTAAAATGTCGTCGAAATGTTGTATCATCTATGATGTAACTTTCGAAGGAAAATTGGAAACTTTCATCATAATATGAAACTGAAAATGGCTTGCAATGGAAAGAAAAATGAAAACTAATAACTAAAGTCGATGATAATACCATGCATTTTTTTGGTGTGTTAAATCCATCGGTAATTTTAGAATTTATGTAAATAGAGGTCCCCAGCAAGAGTACATACCATTTGGTGAAAATAACAGGTCTGATTTAATCCCCCAATCACCTCTACCAGTTAATCTTTAACAATGAATGTAAAAAAAAACAACAAATAAAAGTATGTAGCAACTTTTTCAGCTGCCACATAAAACTTTAAAGGCTTGACAATTTCAACATTTTCGTGTTAATGTTGAATTCTGCTTAAGCTGGTGTTAGGGGGCGTGGACGGTAACTTGCACTTTCCAGTACCGTCCATGAACAGGCTCAATCAAACCGAGCCTGCAACATTTTCAATTTTGTAGTGTTGGGCTTTCTTTAGGGATTCTGTATTTCTCTATTTTGATACATTAATATATTTATTTCAATTTTGTTGATATGTTATTAGCATGGGATATGACTTCTCATTCTTAAGAAGTAGAGGAGGAATCTGATTCTTTTTTGTTGAAATTTAGTGTTTACCTAACATTCCAATAGATCTCAAACATTCAAAATATACTGCCATTATTTAACTTAGTAGACATAACCTATATTGAGAAATTGTGAATGTAAGGGGGACTTTATAGTACAAGTGGTATTTTGAATGGTTTAACATAATACTGGTACACTGTAGACAATAATGGCGGATAACCAGGAAGTAAATTTCAAATTATCATTTAACAATTTTCAAGTTACACAATGTCAAAATGTTAAAAAAATGATGAGATAGGTAGTATACAAATTTTTATTTTCGCATACGTGCCAAAATTATACATGAATCTAGTTGTTTAACTGATATTTAATGACAGTGTCAACAATAGACTTCTGTGTGAGTTTCATACTGAAAGTTTGAAAGAACGTTATATTGGTATGACATTAAGCTCTCACAGGTTTATACATCATATATATGCATTCAGTGTCCATGAACACCTGTATTTGCCAATTTCCTTGGATAAGTCATTTAAGTCCTTTGATACATGTATGTTTTTTTGATTATACACTTCTAAAGGAAGTAGCAAAAGCTATGGCAGTTAAGGGTAAAAATCATAAATGGGCAGATGGATGAATTAGGTATTACTGGCTTGGATTTTCAATGTCCAGGATTCCTCAGGCGATCATCCTATTTTTTTTAGATTTTTGTCGTACTGAGAGACCTTAGGATTCCAATGCGGAATAATAAGGCTATGAATATTTTATGACGTGATCTAATGTGGAGTGAGAACCGTTTGATATTATGCCAAGTTAACACTAGGTACTTTCCTTGGAACTTACATTTGATGACAGGATAAACTGGGATGCTTTCATTTGATGTTTTTAATTTATTCTTAGAAAGCAGGACTTTTTTAACCTGGGGATTCTTTAGCATTGACAAGTGTGCAACGGTTTTAACAAGTCAGGTTTTGTTATTATAGTAGTTAATTTGACTTTCAAGCCCTGCATTATACTTGGTGATAACAATGAGACCAATAATCTAAATCAACGGTCCGCAAGAAGCAGTAAGGAAAATGGCATGGAGATGAGAGAGTAGTGGTGGTAAGAACTGATGAGCAATTGTACCAATATTCCAAAGTTTACTCTACAGTCTACAGCTTTGACCAATGAATGTGTGGCTGAGGCTAAGAGTGATTTGAAGATACGCTTTCACAGTTGATTAAGTAGCGGTAGCTCAAAATTATATCATGTTGCCTTTAGAGCAGATAATATCGATGACTTGAGATTAGTTAGTAATGTTTGTAGTAAGGGTAGTTGCAGAAAATGCTGCGCTATGTTTTAATTGTAATTATGGTAAAACTGATGCTAAGTCTTTTACCATGTTGAAAATCGATTTGAGGACAAAGTCTCAGGGATATAACTGTTGCTTTCGGAAATATGGAATCTTTTTCATAAGCAAGGCTTACTTTTGGAGATTTAGGATTTAATTTTAGATGATTGATTATGGCACCGAATTACGGTGGCATAGAGGTGACATGTGTGTGTGTGTTTATTTAACTTTACATGTGCGCACGCCATTGTATCTCGTACGCACCACTTAATTAGGAAACTCGTGCGCACGACATAGTATCTCGAGCGCACGAGTTAAATTAAAACACACATATGCCATCTCTGTACCACCGTACTGAATAAAATTAGTAAGTCTGAATTGGAATCTGGATAGGGTCTTTGATTTGGAATTGGTATCCACCTATATCGAATTTAGCATACCTCCAATACGTAAAATACACCAAAATTCTACCTGCGCTACAAAATGTCTCTAGCATCTGAAAAGGGCCAAATTTTCAAACTCAGTCCTGTCTATAACCCATTTAGATAAGTCGAAACAAAACTAAATGATAAGAGACAATGAAACATTTATGTTCAATAGGACGTTTGTTCACTTTTATCAATTTTGACTTTCTATATTTTTAACTATCAATGTTTTTTTTGTCTATGTTAGATATGGACTACCACTAGAAGTGAAGTTCATCACCGATGAAATTAGGCAGAAGTTTTACCAAGAAGTTTTAGCGGGACGTCGTAAGCTCGCATCTGTCACTGGTATATTTCCTAGAATATCTTATCTTTTGTCATCAACCATTTCTAAGAAAACTGCTCATAAAATGTTAAATGTAAATCTTGCTGATCATGTTCTGTTTTGTCTTGTACTTATCTATTCAAAATTGCTTGGACATTAATATACATGGATAGCAATATTAAGCTTTAGCCTTAGATAATGTTAAGTTCTCTCTAAGATCACTTATTTTCTTTAATTTGCAAGGAATACAATGAAGAAAACAAAAAGTAAAGATATAATAGTTCCTTTTGTGAAAAAGCAAAAAAAAGTACTTAAAGAGCTAGCAGTTTAAAATAACATTCTCTTTTCTTAACTTTGAATTTACAGAATTTTTGTCTGTCTAGTTTAAACAACTTCCTAGTTTAAATAGTTTAATTTCTTTTAAGAAAACTTTTTTGCCTCACTTATAATGTGACTCGTAAATAAGGAAAGGTTCACACCAGCATTTTTAATGATTTAGACTTATTTTATATTAAATGTGTTTTAACACTTAACCTGCGGGAACCGGAAGTGATTAGCCTTTGCCACCAATAATGGGTCAGGTCAGACTACATATTCGAGCTGTCAGACCAGACTCTATACTGTTGGCTGATCAACTTCAAATTTCCGTCTTGATGTCCTCAAAATTAGTCAAAAGGTCAACTCCAAAAATGGAAGGTTTAAGAAATTATGCATGTTATGGGTCAATGCTTGTCTTTCGTTTTGTTTTGATAAGTTAAATTCTCTCACTTTAAAGACATATATATTCAATGCGTTAACAAATCAAGTATGTAGTTCTAGGTTTTAGCAATTGGCAATACGCAAAATTTTGTAAACATAATTTGTTGATTAAATAAGTTGAACCACAATAAATATGGAAAAACTGCGATATAATAAAATAAATAAACATTTATTTATAGTATAGAGTGGTACATTTGCCGTTATATTTTAATTATTTTCTCATATTTTTTCAATTATTGATAGAATGTCAATCTCCTGTGGTAAAACTCAGTTTTAGCTCCACTTTTTTTAAGAAACAAATTTGAGCTATTGTTATGGCCCCTTCGTCGGTGTCGGTTAACCTTTTCATTATTTTTTTTTCTCAGAAACTAGAAAGGCTATTGACATCAAATTTTGTATATATGTATATATGTTTATTGTCATAAAAGGATCCCATTTCACTAGAGCAGATATTTCTAAAATTATGTAATGCTAAGTTATGCCCCCTTTTTGACTTAGGTAAACCCTTTTTGTTAAGAAAAGTAATTCACCACAAACTTGATATACACGTTCACTATCGAAATATGCTACTAGTACCACTTCAGAAGAGTAGTCCTTAAATTTATTTACACAAAAATATATCCTTTTTAACTAATTATTTTCTTCTTATGACAATTTCTTAAAAACTGTCAAAGTAAATCACTTCAAATTGGAATACTTTTTCATTTTTTTATTTGAAATGCATTTCTAAAGAGTAGGTAGCTTTTTTCAGTTATGCCACCTTTTTGACTTTGAATTTCTTGGTACATTTCTTATAGTGTATCAAAGACATTTAGTTTCAATTTTGAATATTTGAAATGCATTTCTATGGGCAGATAATCCTGGAAGTCATCTTTGCTTAATTGTTTCCGTTTTTACTGAATATTTGCCTTTTACTTAGAAACCGCCAAAGGAATTCATTTCAAATTTGAAATATTTGTTGACTATCAAGATCAAGTTAATCTGCTAGGCATGTTTTCCGAATTATTCCTCAATTTTCAATGCTGCTTTTCGTGAACAGGTCTTGTTAACTACTCAAGTTGGGCAATATCTGAAACTCACATTAAATATCACAAATACACACCAACTAAAAATCTAAGTCAAAAGGGGCATAACTTAGCTTTACATAATTTAAGAAATATCTGTTCCAGTGAAATAGGGTCCTTTTAAGACAATAATCATATATAAAAAATTTGAAGTCAAAAGCCTTTATAATATATGAGAAAAACGCATAAGCTAAACAACTGCGAATGTTTAATTAACAGCTTTTACACAAATCAGATATGCGGATATTTTATCAACTTATGCTTTGTTTCAATTCAAACCCTGGTATTTTTCACGAATGATAAGCATAATTTATACACATTTATCGCATGCTTCAGTCTTCTGGAACTAAGTTCTTACTGTTTGGGCAATTAAATAAGATAATAATTATGTTTCATAAAGATAATATTTATAAAACAGTTTCATTTCCCTAACTTTACTTATCTTTAAGACGGTCAGATATTTCAAATACATTTTTTTCAAATATATCAAACACTTGCACTGTTTTAACTGTATTGTGCAGAGTGATTAATAAAAACTAGAATTATGTACATAGGACACGGATGCCTCCCCCCCCCCATCCACTGTCTGTCTACTGGCGTACAGCAGGACAGTGCAACAGAGGAACAAAGGAAATTTTACATGACTTCCCCTACCTAAGAAGTTTAGATCTCAATTCTAAATTCTGAAGTATGCTTTAAAGAAAAAAACAACAAGCAAAACCCCAGATGCACAACAACAAACGCTGACCAGCAGTCCTGTAAAGAGATATGACTCTAGGTCAAATACTTTTTGAGTTATGCAATACACAATTGTAAATCTTTTACTTGGTCTAGGGCAATAACTCTAATAATACTGAATAAATCCACAAGCAAACCCCATAATTAATAACTGCACATGCTGATCAACATTCCTGTAACGTTTCATAGTTTCAAGTCAAAAACTTTTTGAGTTACGCACGACACACGATGAAAATTGCAAATTTATTCTTAGCCAATAAGCGCAATAACTCTAAGAAAAGTGAAATAATCCACACGCAAAATCTCGAAAAAAAAGATGCACGGCCTTATACATGCTGATCAACATTCCTGTAAAGTTTGTTTATTGCAACTCGAGCACTTTGAAAAGTACATGCGGCACAACATTTTGAAATGTTTTTTACTAAGCCAATTACTCTACAAATCTGAATGAATATAAAAGCAAACCCCAGGTGAACAACAACATACTTATGCTGACCAATTTTATTTTGTAAAGTTTCATGACTTGCACATTGTGAAATAGTAGACAATTCTACAGAAAATTTACTATCATCGAACATAAGATGAAGAAAAACTCTAGAAGTGGCCATTATCATTTAATCTGACCAGTCCATACACTAAGATAAATAAAAGCGATGTAATTTAAAAAACAAAACAACTTTTATTGTAATAAACATTAGCTTTTTATGTATTAAAGGAAATGAATTGGCACATGTTTTATTTTATTGCAGCAACATTAAGACTTAATCGAATAGTAAAACAACGTGTCATAGTAGGACATTACAAACCTATCACTGACTTAGAAAAAACTGAAGAAGCTGGCGACATTGGGGCAGAGAAAAACGAAAATGCTGACAGTGAAAATACTGGCACTGAAAATACTGAAGGCAGTGAAGCTGGAAATAAAGATGTACGTAAGAGAACCGTTGTTGTGATACCAGTAGACGATCCAGAGATTGGGGAGATACCTGTGAATGTCTGCGAGGGAGATGTTTTGACCATATATGAGTCTCTTGTCAATATAAAGAGTGTTACAGAAGCGCGTGATATGGTGGCACAAACACTGTGTCTCGATTTTGAAGTAAAACCAGGAATGAAACTTATCACCGCTAACGAAGGTATGTAGATTATCTATGTTTCAGAACCAGTGACTTTGTGCATGATTATGTTTTTATATAAAGTTGGATTACTTTTGATAAGTGAAATGTTTTTTTCTCTCACAAAAACATGTTTTGTAATATGGATATGGCATGTTAAACGTTGCAAAATTCAATAAATTTATTTTTTGGTCTATATCCAATATTTATATTGTATAACTTTAACTTTATATTCTATACGATAATATTTATTCTAACCTACTGAATATTTGTTCATCATGAAAAATATTTGTGTGCGATAATTTTCTATATGTATGTTCTATATTTGAAAATATATACTGTATAATTAAAAACATTTATTGTATACTGAAAAATGTTTATTCGAAAATTTGAATCATGGGATAGAATCAAAATTTCCTAACACTAAGCATATTTAGCTAGACTATGTCCCTATCAAAGTCACTTGTAAATAGTGCATATGCTTAATCCTCCTTATAAATATATATGTATGTCTAAAAAATGGAAATAGATTTTAAAGTCTTCAGGACATACAATCGTATAATAATGTTTTTTTTTCTTCATATCCCTTATTATTTAACCACCATATGAACCTATGTGAGGATATCCTGTAAGATGACTAAATGATCATTTAAATGTTCATATACTCTTGTTCATATGAAAGATATATGTGGAATGACATATGAGGAGAGACCATCTTCATGAACATACACTCTAGTTTATATTGAAGATGTATGAGGGGATTAAATGTAAGATTAGCGGGGGATCATTCTAGATGTACATAATTATACATAAGTTGTTATGGAACATATATGAGGGGTCAACTTAGATGATCAGATGTATAAACACTCTAGTTCTTATAAAACATATATGAATATATGATTAGGTAAGATGAGGGGATAAGGTACATTGTAGTGGGTTTTGGATGATCACTCTGAAAACATATTCTCCTAGAAAAATTATGTTACTTAAGAATTAAAGTCATGAACAGCTATATCATCTTGCATGAACCATTCATACATATTCTAGAATAAAAAAGATCATGATCCTCTGATCATCTTACGTGAGCCCCTAAATAAGTTCAATGTGAACTTAAGTATATGAACAACATTGGAGACTTCCATGAACCCCTCAAATGAATTGAGCATGTAGATCTAGATGATCCCCTGGTCATCTTCCATGATGCCTTCATGCATGTTCCAATATAAATAGAATATATTTACATCTAGATGACCCCTAGTCCTCGTACGTGATTCCCTTATACAAGTTCAAAAATAAATAGAGTATATCTACTGGATCACCTGGCGGTCTTATAACCCCCTTATACATGTACCATAATGAAAAGAACTATAATATGTTTATAAAGATGAATCCTTGGACATCATTTATAATCCCTTGATATATGTTCTAGAAGAACGAGAGAAAATGTACATAAAGTTTATCAAAAGGTCAATTTTCAAGGTACCCTAAAATCATAATTATTCGTGGGGCACACATTTCCGTGGTTTTCGTAGATAGATGTACAGTGAGATGATCCCTTGGTCGCCTAACGTGATCCCCTCATATAAATGTTCCATTACAAATATAGTATTTGTTCATGACCCTCTGGTCGCTTTACGAGCATATGTGCATCTAGATAATATTCGGTTATCTCACATGATACCCTCATACATGCTCCATAATGTATTGAGTATATGTACATATATGTGTGATACTCTCATGTATGTTCCATAAGAACTAGAGCATGTACATTTAAATAAACCTTGGTAATTATTAAGGATCTCACATTAAGTTCTATTAGAACAACAGTACATGTACATTTAGATAATGTAGATGATCCGATTATCAGCTAACATAATCCCCTCCTATATATTCTATCAGAACAAGAATAAGAACAAAAAAGGTTTTTATGATCTTTTGGTCATTTTAAGTGATCTTTTCAAACATTTTCTTTAGAGAACCAGAAAATCTCTGGGCATTACGTGAACCCATCATCTGTGTTTCAGATAACTAAAGTATACATGTATCAAAGACCCCTGGTCATCTTACGTGATCCTCTTATATATTTTACAAATAAATATAGTATGTGTACATCAAAAAAAATGGGCGGAGTCAAAACTCATATTTATTTTAGGGGACTTCTTTCGCCATTTTGATTATAAAATCTGATAAATAAATAACAACTTTTTGTTGAATTTTGATTTGAAAACTATCTAGAATGATAGAAAATGGTCTAACTAAGAAAATAAATCCGAACACCAATATCTTTAATTTAGTCATTAACGCTGTACAGACGTTTAAAGGATTTAGCTCAATACAGGATTGGAGCAGTACCTCTAGACGCTTGCAGAAATCATGATCACAAAATAGACAAATATCGTTTTTTTCGCCGAATTTTACATTTTTCCTTGACTATCGTACTTGATTCGGAGTGAAAAGATGAATTAGACCTGTTAAAGTTCATTCCGTTGGGTAAAAAGACAAGATTTTAGCATTTTATCATTCAAGCGCCTTGTCCGGTATATACCGGAATACGGTATTTAGTGTGGTGCTCCAATCCTTTTTTTAGTCACAGCCACGTTTAAAGAGTTGTTGACGTGACGTCACAATGTAGCGTGCAAAACAAGACAATAATTATATTACTACGCGCTGTACAATTGCAGTTGCGTAGCAAGCAAGGGGGTTCGTAACCATTTTTCTTTGATAATGAAATTAAATAAAAAGGTTATTTTTTCGTTTTTCGTGAAATATGGTATATATTTTCACTCAACATGATAAAATGCCACATATTTTCACTCGCCGTCCCGGCTCGTGAAAATATGTGGCATTTTATCATGTTTCGTGAAAATATATTCCATAATTCACTCAAACGAAAAAATATCCTCTTATTATCGCACAGAAATATTTTTTATGATGAACAAATATTCAGTAGGATTGAATAAATATTATGGTATAGGCCTAGAATATATAATTAGAGTTATACAATATAAATATTGGATATAGACCAAAAAGTTGATTGATTGAATTTCGCAATCGTTTAACATGCCATATATGGAGTGTCTCTGAAACATATTTTAGGTATCAAAATTATTTTTAACTAGTGCACTTTTAACTACGGTGGCATACAGGGGACATCAGAAATATTTTATCTATTTCGTGCGCACGCGATATATTTTATCTATCACGTGCGCACGTGATAGGGGACATCAGAAATATTTTATCTATCACATGCGCATGCGATGGAGGACATCAGAAATATTTTATCTGTCACGTGCGCACGCGATGGGGGACATCGGAAAATATTAAAATACAACGTGCGCGCGATAGCTACCACGTGCGCACGCTATGACTACTACGTGCGCACCCGATAGCTACTACGTGCGCACGTATATTTCTGATGTCCCCATCTCGTGCGCACGTGATTGATAAAATATTTTTGACGTCCCCCATCGCGTGCGCACGTGATAGATAAAATATTTCTGATTTCCCCTTTATGCCACCGTATTTAACTAATAAATGTTACGTTATATATTCCAAATTTGATTTTAGAAACATGCATTTAAATGTTCATATACTCTTGTTCATATGAAAGATATATGTGGAATGACATATGAGGAGAGACCATCTTCATGAACATACACTCTAGTTTATATTGAAGATGTATGAGGGAATTAAATGTAAGATTAGCGGGGGATCATTCTAGATGTACATAATTATACATAAGTTGTTATGGAACATATATGAGGGGTCAACTTAGATGATCAGATGTATAAACACTCTAGTTCTTATAAAACATATATGAATATATGATTAGGTAAGATGAGGGGATAAGGTAGTGGGTTTTGGATGATCACTCTGAAAACATATTCTCCTACAATAATTATGTTACTTAAGAATTAAAGTCATGAACAGCTATATCATCTTGCATGAACCATCCATACATATTCTAGAATAAAAAAGATCATGATCCTCTGATCATCTTACGTGAGCCCCTAAATAAGTTCAATGTGAACTTAAGTATATGAACAACATTGGAGACTTCCATGAACCCCTCGAATGAATTGAGCATGTAGATCTAGATGATCCCCTGGTCATCTTCCATGATGCCTTCATGCATGTTCCAATATAAATAGAATATATTTACATCTAGATGACCCCTTTGATAATGAAATTAAATAAAAAGGTTATTTTTTCGTTTTTCGTGAAATATGGTATATATTTTCACTCAACATGATAAAATGCCACATATTTTCACTCGCCGTCCCGGCTCGTGAAAATATGTGGCATTTTATCATGTTTCGTGAAAATATATTCCATAATTCACTCAAACGAAAAAATATCCTCTTATTATCGCACAGAAATATTTTTTATGATGAACAAATATTCAGTAGGATTGAATAAATATTATGGTATAGGCCTAGAATATATAATTAGAGTTATACAATATAAATATTGGATATAGACCAAAAAGTTGATTGATTGAATTTCGCAATCGTTTAACATGCCATATATGGAGTGTCTCTGAAGCATATTTTAGGTATCAAAATTATTTTTAACTAGTGCACTTTTAACTACGGTGGCATATAGGGGACACCAGAAATATTTTATCTATTTCGTGCGCACGCGATATATTTTATCTATCACGTGCGCACGTGATAGGGAACATCAGAAATATTTTATCTATCACATGCGCATGCGATGGAGGACAACAGAAATATTTTATCTGTCATGTGCGCACGCGATGGGGGACATCGGAAAATATTAAAATACAACGTGCGCGCGCGATAGCTACCACGTGCGCACGCTATGACTACTACGTGCGCACCCGATAGCTACTACGTGCGCACGTATTACTAGTAGCGTGCGCACGTAGTAGCTATCGCGTGCGCACGTAGTAGCTATCGCGTGCGCACGTGATAGATAAAATATTTCTGATGTCCCCATCTCGTGCGCACGTGATTGATAAAATATTTTTGACGTCCCCCATCGCGTGCGCACGTGATAGATAATATATTTCTGATTTCCCCTTTATGCCACCGTATTTAACTAATAAATGTTACGTTATATATTCCAAATTTGATTTTAGAAACATGCAAAATCGTTTTTAAAGACTGAAAAATGGCTTATTTTCTTTGCAGAAGACTCGAAGAAGTATGAAAATGTAAAACATGGACCCCCACCTTTACCTGCAAGACCCCCACGTCAGTTACCAATAGCAACGGGTACGTCCCATAATTACCAGACTTAATAATTATCTTTTATTTGAAACTTAGATACTTAGCTTACTTTAAACTTTACCTTGAAAGTTGCTGAACAGCCTTTTTGGTGTTAATAAAGTTTAGTTCTACATATATCATCACAATCGATATAGAAATATTATAATTCCGTCATACAAGTACCTATGCATGTCTTTGTTAACTTGTAGGAATCTTGATATTTCATTTTCTTCGAATGAAGGTATCCGTACACAAGTGATATGTTTAAATGCATTGAATATTGCATAAAAAATTTTTTACCAATGTTTAATGTTATATATAATGTATCTACTTTTTTCTGATCTTCCATATAATATTATGTTTTGTTATATAATTTGTATATATGTTCATGCTCTTTAATTCCGGAGGAGATAAAAGTATTTCTCTATCTAACTTTACCTTAAAATTTGACGGACAGCCCTTTTGGATTTTAATCATTTCTGTTATAAAATTGTTAATAATAACAGTCATTGTCATGTCCATTACTTCCTTCCTGAACCTTTTTTTTTCGGTTTGGTGCTTTCTATGTATCTCGCCAATGTGGATGGGTTGTGTCAGGTCTACGTTCTGTGAACGTCGCATTGCCTTGTTGATATTTGTTGTTACTTTTTACATGCTAATTGCAATCATATTATAATCATAGGGCCGTTATCTTATGATTATTTTACACGAATGGTAATTACTTACTTGGCCAGTCTCCTTGTCGATTTCACAGTTAAAGGATATTGTAACTGATTTGATTTCTAAAACAATAAACTTATGTTGCTTTCAAACATAAATATACATTTATAATACTGATTTTGCATTTTGTAAGATAACAATACATGTAAATAGATATACGAGCCGCGTCACGACAAAACCAACGTAATGCGCTTGCGACCAGCATGGATCCAGACCATCCTGATCAGCGCAGTCTGATCAGGATCCATTTTGTTCGCTATCAGTTTCTCTACTTGTAAAAGAGTTGGTAAGCGAACAGCATGGATCCTGATCAGACTGCGCGGATGCGCAGGCTGGTCTGGATCCATGCTGGTCGCAAACCCATTATGTTGGTTTTGTCGTGTCGCGGCTCATATAAAGTTATTCTTTAAAATCCGTGCGGAAGTCTTAAGACAATAAAAATCTGGAAAAAGGTGATCCCGCGAAGCAATGAAAACAACCATATAATATAAAAATTGCAAACTCGGTTTGATTTAGTCTGTTCATGAGAGATATTGTAAATATGCAACATCTCTCTTGCCCCCTCCCTAGCACCGGCTATTTATGTTAGTCTATTTAGCAGGTTAAACCTTGTTATTTATGATCCAGGAATATATTGAATTTTAAAAAACAAATACTTAATAATATGTACTACCATTAATCACTTCTGTACATATCCATAAAGATGTTTCTTTTGATTTCTTATCACTTTTTCTTTTCCAAATTTACCCAATAACACTGTTATATATAGTTTAAGCCTTGTTTATGTTTTTTATCATGCAACTGCTATGGTAACTGCCCGATAACACTTGCCTGATAATTATTTTTGATATCAGGTCAGTAACCTGATATCAAAAATAAGCCCCGCCCATGTTAACGGACTTTTTTCAATTGCTTATATTCTCATTTTCATCAGCATGTGAATTCTACAATGTAATCTCATTCCCTTACAAGTCTTGAATCAAGGTGCGATATTTATTTATTTATTATTTCGATTTCAATTACGAACAAATAAGATAGCGAACAGTTAAGCACTTTGAAGTGATGTCATTATTTATATCGGAAATGACATCATCGGTGTTCACGTTATATTATAAACATAACAAACGGGCTATACGATTTTCTTGGAGAACTTGTAAATGTTTACTTTGTTTCGCGAGATTGCTATTAAATGAGTGAGCAAATCGTTTCATTCAGAAAAAAAGACACATGTTTGTGTAGCTTTTGTTTGATCGCCGGTTTGACTTTTCTTTGATTGAAATAATCGAGAACTTTTGAATTTGACAATTCAAGACAAAAATTGCAGTAAAGTTTAGTTTATGTGATTCTAAGCGGATTTTTGGATCGATGTTTAAATTAAAGGTAAGAATGTTATCGTATTAGGCCTACATTCTGTTGTATCTTTTATCCGAGTCGAAAGAAAAAATGGCCTCCAATTACAAATTCTAAGTTTCAGGGGCAGAGGAATTTGTTTTCAAGAATAAAAAATGCCTCTTTCTACAAAATTTGCTGATAAAAGGTAGATTATTTTGTAATTTGGACAGTTTTTGTGTGTTACATGATAAATAGAAAAACATGCTACTGTCTTTTGATATCAATTTTATCAGGCTCGACTGATATGGGCAGAAAGGACTTGGCCAGCCTGGCCCCTTTCTAGCCCATATCAACCTCGCCTGATAAAATTGATATCAAAAGACAGTAGCATGTTATTCTCTATTTATCATGCAACTGCTATGGTAACTGCCCGATAACACTTGCCTGATAATTATTTTTGATATCAGGTCAGTAACCTGATATCAAAAATAAGCCCCGCCCATTTCTAACGGACTTTTTTCAATTGCTTATATTCTCATTTTCATCAGCATGTGAATCTACAATGTCATTGCATACCCTTACAAGTCTTAAATCAAGATGCGATATTTATTTATTTATTATTTCGATTTCAATTACGAATAAATTAGATAACGAATAGGTTTAACACCAACTAAATGAAGTGACGTCATAATTTATATTGCAAATGACATCATCAATGTTCACGTCATACTATACATGTAAACATAACAAACAGGCTTCACGATTTTCTTTGAGAACTTGTGATTGTTTACTTTATTTTGCCGGATTATTAAATAAGTGAACAAATTGTTTCGTTTAAAAAAACAAGACGCATCTTTGTGAAGCTTGTGTTTGATTGCAAATTGGACTTTTGTTTGATTGAAATTATCGTGAACTTTTGAATTTTACAATTTAAGACAAACAGTGCAGTAATTTGAGTAAAGTTTATGTGATTCTAAGGGATTTTTTGGATCACTGTTTTAATTAAAGGTAAGAATTTTATCATGTTAGACCTACATTCTGTTTTATCTTTTATCATGCAACTGCTATGGTAACTGCCCGATAACACTTGCCTGATAATTATTTTTGATATCAGGTCAGTAACCTGATATCAAAAATAAGCCCCGCCCATGTTAACGGACTTTTTTCAATTGCTTATATTCTCATTTTCATCAGCATGTGAATTCTACAATGTAATCTCATTCCCTTACAAGTCTTGAATCAAGGTGCGATATTTATTTATTTATTATTTCGATTTCAATTACGAATAAATTAGATAGCGAATAGTTTGAAGTGACGTCATAATTTATATTGCAAATGACATCATCGATGTTCACGTCATACTATACATGTAATCATAACAAACAGGCTAGACAATTTTCTTTGAGAACTTGTAAATGTTTACTTTATTTCGCCGGATTATTATTTAATAAGTGAACAAATTGTTTCGTTTGAAAAATATGACGCATGTTTGTGTAGCTTTTGTTTGATTGCCGATTTGACTTTTCTTTGATTGAAATAATCGAGAACTTTTGAATTTGACAATTCAAGACAAAAATTGCAGTAAAGTTTAGTTTATGTGATTCTAAGCGGATTTTTGGATCGATGTTTAAATTAAAGGTAAGAATGTTATCGTATTAGGCCTACATTCTGTTGTATCTTTTATCCGAGTCGAAAGAAAAAATGGCCTCCAATTACAAATTCTAAGTTTCAGGGGCGGAGGAATTTGTTTTCAAGAATTATTTCTTTGAACAAAAATCCCCCTTTTTAACGAAATTCGCTATTTAAAAGTAGATTATTTTGTTATTTTGACAGTTATTATGTGTTACATGATAAATAGAAAAACATGCTACTGTCTTTTGATATCAATTTTATCAGGCTCGGCTGATATGGGCAGAAAGGGCTCGGCAAGCCTCGCCCTTTCTAGCCCATATCAACCTCGCCTGATAAAATTGATATCAAAAGACAGTAGCATGTTATTCTCTATTTATCAGAGTCGAAAGAAAAAATGGCCGCCATTTTATTTACAAATTCTAAGTTTCAGGGGCGGAGGAATTTGTTTTCAAGAATTATTTCTTTGAACAAAAATCCCCTTTTTTACGAAATTCGCTATTTAAAAGTAGATTATTTTGTTATTTTGACAGTTTTTATGTGTTACATGATAAATAGAAAAACATGCTACTGTCTTTTGATATCAATTTTATCAGGCTCGGCTGATAAAATTGATATCAAAAGACAGTAGCATGTTATTCTCTATATACTTTTGAATATGTTTCATTATTATTATTATTATTATTATTATTATTATTGCTGCTGCTACTGCTACTGCTACTACTTCTATAGTGCTCTACTGCTACTATTCCTGCTGCTGCTGCTTCCACTGCCTAGCTACTACTACTACTTTTACCTACTTCTGCTGCTCTTTTATTTGTAATGCAATATATAACCATGCTATTTGAAGCATTCGAGGGAGCGGATGCAGCAGATCATCCCCACAAACAGTCACCTATCCCCACTGAAGATCCTGATGATTACTTAATGCCAATAACAGAGAGACTTGAAAAAGGTGAGGGAACAACCAGTTTTTTTTTTAAATATTAAATCTAATAGATGAATATAATGTAAAAACTGTCTGTTCTTGTACCACTTCAGACCTGTCTTATAAGAAATGTATTCGGTTAGAGGAGAACAATGGTTTGTATTTATTACTCATTCACATTTATATTTTCACATCATTTATCTTCATTTAAAAATAATGAGAACTTTCAATCATCATATTGTAATAGTCAGAATTGATTTTTTCTTTTATTTTTATTATTAAAAGCACATTATGTCTTAGACACAAATAAAAATATGAGTTTTTATAACATGTACAAATGATTTTAGAGCATAAAAAATGCATTTTACCTGAAGAAAGTAGCGCTGATTGGGAAATTCTTTGTTATAAAAGTAGCAATACGAAGTAATATTTTGACTTCCATTCAAAATAATGAATCTTTTTAAATAATGAAATCAGAAGCGAAAATGGCCAATATGTACGGTAACTTTTTTGTTTTGGGAACTTTAAATTGAACACCAAAATAAAAAAGTTTTGAGAACTAAAAATGTTTTTCTCTCGCATAATGGACCTTTAATTATTATCTCAATTTATCATGATTAATCTTAACGTAATTATATTCTTTTGAGTATGCAATTTCCGTCCTGCTTACTGCATCTGAAGCTTCCTGGATGTAAATTATATAAATGAGCCGCGTCACGACAAAACCAACATAGTGCGTTTGCGACCAGCATGGATCCAGACCAGCCTGCGCATCCGCGCAGTCTGATCAGGATCCATGCTGTTCGCTATCAGTTTCTCTACTTGTAATAGAGTTTGTAAGCGAACAGCATGGATCCTGATCAGACTGCGCGGATGCGCAGGCTGGTCTGGATCCATGCTGGTCGCAAACCCACTATGTTGGTTTTGTCGTGACACGGCTCAAATGCATATTACTAATGTTTTGATGTTCTCGATACAAGATATTTCCTTTCCTCAATAATGTCACTTAATATAGATATTCTAATGATATAACTATTTAAACGAGGGATACTCTTGAATTACTCGGACTTTGTTTATAATTCTGACAAATTTCATGATTTCTTCCTTAAATTTATACCTGTAGAAAGTTTGATGTTTCATCTATTTGATTGCAAAATATTATCTATTTAATGGCATCCAGTACGTCTCAGGTTGCCTTAAATAACCATGGAAACGCCTAATTCCGGGTATTTCTGGATCATCCCTCGTACACACATTTATGCTAAATTTATATTGAGAGTAATTTGAAGCATAAATACGACAATCTTTTACAACACAACTACAGTTGTACAATTCGGACAACCACATTTCTTGTAAATATTTATTATTTTTTAAAGATCTTGATGGTTATGTTGATATGAAAGGGCCGCTTGGAAACAAGGTCTATACAGAGAACCCAGCATTACCTCCCCGTAAACCTACACCTATACAATTACCAACGAAAAAACATGGTAAATTTTCAATTTCAGTTGTTCTTTCAAAAATAGTAATTAAATAGTTTACTAGACCGCTTTTAACAAAAGAGCCGGTAGGTAAATCATTTTATACCATACCTGTGGTTGTTGCTTTCATGACTCTGTAAAAGCTAGATTAAGTTTTACGTTATGCAAACATAACGTAAAGACGCACTCAGTGTTGGCATAAAACTATTTAAGCTCGTCAATGAAAAAATGATTCGTTTTTTTTTTAAAATATTTTTTTTTTAATTGTTAGAAGTTCTTATTTTGTGATAACTTATGTGATAAATAGAATATTATATTCGTTTAGCTTCATTAATAAATTGTTTTAACTCGTTGAATAATATAGTTTTTAATGCTCACCAAAATTTTGCATAATATATTTTTGTTCAACTCGTTCTGAACCTATACCCATTCAGTATCCCTTTTTACTGACTTTCGGACAATTTTTTCTTCAGTATATTTTGTATTTAACTTAACCCATTACTTCATATACACGCCTTTTAACGCCTTTTTCACCCCCCCCCCTTTTTGTTGTCTCAAATGATGAAAAAATGCCTTATTTAGGCCCCAAACACTTGTTTTTGTTTGAGAAATGTTGTTAAAAACAGTGACCTCTTTTTCGGCGCGGCCCCCCAACCAAAAGATACATCAGGGGGTTGCCAGAAGGGGGATATGCCCCCTTCTGTTTGGGGGGTTTGAAGGGGGGCGGAGTCCCCCTCATCGCCAAGAAAATTTTGGACTTGTGAGAGGCTGTAAATGACCCCAGATTGATCATAAGGTAACGTGTAACCAACGCTGAAAAGCATTTGACTCTATCTCAATCCATTGAGAAATTGCAGCACTTTGAAATCAATTTTGATGGAAAAAATCAACGCAAAATAGTGATTTTTGGCAATTTTGAGATGTCCCCTCGTTGCCATGGTAACAGAAAATTTAAGCCTGAGCATGTTGTTGCAAGGGCAATGGTCCAGTCAACATTTGTGCCAAGTTTGATTAGTGTTGAAGCAGTTTTAATAGTATTATAGCAATTTGAACTTGTAACGGGAGACTTTTCAATGAAAACAGCCATTTTTCACAAAATGCTCATGAAGCAATGGGTTAATGAAAAAAATAAAAAAATCTACAAAACAACAATTTTTCTTCAAATTTATATGACAGGCCATGTTTAAACATGAAAAAACGCGATTTAGGGTAATTTCAAGTATTTTCATCATTTTCTGTTAACCCATTACTTCATATACACGCCTTTTAACCCTTTTTCACCCCCCCCCCTTTTTGTTGTCTCAAATGATGAAAAAATGCCTTATTTAGGCCCCAAACACTTGTTTTTGTTTGAGAAATGTTGTTAAAAACAGTGACCTCTTTTTCGGCGCGGCACCCCAACCAAAAGATACATCAGGGGGTTGCCAGAAGGGGGATGTGCCCCCTTCTGTTTGGGGGGTTTGAAGGGGGGCGAAGTCGCCCTCATCGCCAAGAAAATTTTGGACTTGTGAGAGGCTGTAAATGACCCCAGATTGATCATAAGGTAACGTGTAACCAACGCTGAAAAGCATTTGACTCTATCTCAATCCATTGAGAAATTGCAGCACTTTGAAATCAATTTTGATGGAAAAAATCAACGCAAAATAGTGATTTTTGGCAATTTTGAGATGTCCCCTCGTTGCCATGGTAACAGAAAATTTAAGCCTGAGCATGTTGTTGCAAGGGCAATGGTCCAGTCAACATTTGTGCCAAGTTTGATTAGTGTTGAAGCAGTTTTAATAGTATTATAGCAATTTGAACTTGTAACGGGAGACTTTTCAATGAAAACAGCCATTTTTCACAAAATGCTCATGAAGCAATGGGTTAATGAAAAAAATAAAAAAATCTACAAAACAACAATTTTTCTTCAAATTTATATGACAGGCCATGTTTAAACATGAAAAAACGCGATTTAGGGTAATTTCAAGTATTTTCATCATTTTCTGTTAAGTAAATATCTAAATAAAATTTATTTCCATTTTACTTACAATGAGAGTGCTGTATTGATGATGATGTTGCTGGTAGTGCTGCTTTTAAAGGAATATTTATCACAAATAGCGTTTATTTAAATTGATACACACAATTTCGACTTTCTCTAGGCATTCTTTTAAATGTTATAGCTTTGAATACCCAATTTTGAAATAATACTTTTTGTTGTAGATACAGACAAGAAAGACAAGGTAAGTTAATCTTAAGCTTCATTCATTATAGAAATCTAAAATGATGTAATTTGCCTAAGCTTCCATAAGACACTCCCATTTTTTGTTTATAGCATATCGATCTGAATAAAGTCATATTTTTGCATTATTTAGTAAGATTTGCACAAACCATTAGAACACAATCCAATGCTAGTTTGCATGGGGGTGGAACTGAAGACTGCATTGAAATCCAAAACAAAAATGGGTAATATAGAGGAGAGTCATGGCCAACAACCACTTCAGATCTTAAAACAATAGACCTAATTAAATATTGCTCGGACAAGGGTTTGATGATCAAAGCCATGATGACCTTTGACAGATTGACCTCAAGAATGACATCCACAGTACGTTTCATTACTGGCGAAAGTGTTATATGGTCATGAGTTTGGCAAACATTTAGTGGTCAGTGTCACAGTGCCCTTCACCTTTGATCAAAGGATCACAAAAGTAATAAAAACGTAATCTACAAACCATGCCAATACTCCATACCGAATTACAACGTATTCTTTAATTATTAACCTGAGTCAAGGGTTTATCTTGACATTTGACCAACAGCGTTCGTCTAGTTGTCATCAGCAAACTGCAATGCTCATATTCCCGCTTGTAAAGTTATTTCATTAGGTCAACTGAAATTTATCTTAGGAGAGCATCCGTCATATTGTTTGTATAGATATCTATATTTGAGGACTAAAATACAAAATTTAATTACAAATATGATACCTGACATATCTATAAATCAGAACTAAACGGCAGAAATATTTGATAATTGACATAATTAGTCTCTCTAAAATACATTTAGTGATATTTTAGATAAGACACCCTTTACCAGAAAATTTTCAAATCAGTATTTATGATATTTTGTGGTTGTTGACTTGAGCTATTTAAAAAAGATTGACTGATATAATAGTGATTGACCAATGATTGATAATGAAAAATGCTTAGTAACTGCCGAAAAAATTAAAAGACTGTCTCACACTTTTTATCAATTGGACGTTAACGATACGTTTCGAAAAATATTTATGAATCATGAGGCTTTATTGTTTATACAGATGACCAAGACTGCAGGATTGAAAACAGTTATGGGAAAATCGAGAGTTAATTTGACTTTGACCTGTATACCAGCCATTTATATATATTTGGGAGGTGGGGGGGGGGGTAATGTCACTTTAAGCCAATATATACATAAGCATATATTGTTTCTTAGCTGATTGATATTATACGTTTCCTAACAAAAGTCTATTGTAAAACATTTTGCTACGTTGATATTACAGACTATTTAAAGTTGTCGTATTTCCAGAAAAGGCCATTCTAAGGTATTTTTGATAGTTAAGAAATACGCGTCTTAGTCCAAAACCACAAGGTAAATCTTGACTATATTTTACATTTATGTGTTCTTTAATAAGGGCATACAACTCAACTTAAATTCGTTGCCAATTCTTCAGTTCTTTAAAGTGGCGATTTGAATGACCATACCTCTTGAACCCTAAACTGTCTTTTGCATACTTCCAGAGGTATTGCATTTTAAGTCAATACTTTTAATAGTCAAAAGCATTAACAGCAAAATGGCCATAAGTCTCTTATGCATAATTTTATAGTTATGGGCCTTAAATGATTCACAACTTTTTCTATTGTCCTTGCAAAGCTAAAAGCTACCAGAGACACATCCTGAAACACCATAGAAAATAGATCTTATTCAGACAAAATACAATGCTTAAGAACCATACCTCTGTTTAATCAATATTTTAGCTTTTACCCTTTGTAGTTTTACAATTTTGAAGCGGAGCATTACTGATTTTTAACTTAAAACTCAATAAATATCATTATAGGATATTGCATTGTCCAAGATCTATAATTTTCTTTTGGACCACTTTAGATTTATTTCGAATTGAATTTGTATCTGTGATTGCCCTCGGTAATTTGTCATATTTGTTTTCGTCTAGTGTATATTTATAGGTCAATATGATGCATTAACAGCTGTATGTTACTGTATTACTTATGATCTTTATAATGATCCTATATATTTCTTATAATATCTTTGTCAAAATAAAACTGAAATTATGCCCATTTAAGTGTTAATGGTGTGAGTAAATGCAAACGTCAAAATAACTTTAAATTTTGACATAATTGATTTAAATTGTATTTCGATTCAGCTTCGCAAAAGTACTTAATAAGTCACGTGACCAACGAACATAATGACACAAGGCAATGCCAATTCCTGGACTATTTCGATTCAAGAAGTCAATATTTTGAACATTTTACATGTTTTCATTACATTTGAATCTAAATTTTATTTCTTTAAATTTCTTTATTTAGATATATAAGAGTATTTGTTTTCTGCCTTTAAGTGGCTTTACTAACATGTTCCAATGAGTAAAACATAGTCATTTTAAGGTTTTTTACTTTATTTGGACTATGTACCGTTTTACCAATTGGTACGTACCTTTTTGTCCTATATTAGGGGCAAAATCCAACCGTTAGCTTGAGTGGTTTTAGTTTCTAAATCAATGGAAGAGTATATAAATATCATATCAAAATAAAGAAGCCTACTGTCTTAATGCATTATGTCAGTTCAATATAGATCCAATTTTTTTTACATCAGAGTTGGAATTTTTGAAAATAAGAATGTTTCGTTTCATTCGTTCACCCCTATGATCTACCGAAAATTATTTGAAGATAATTCTCTCTAATAAAACAACCCGTTTCTTTTCCAGATTTTGAAACAATTTTTATATGCAGTTATTTATAAAGCAGGCTAAATCTAGTCACCATTAAGCTTGTTTGTCTGTCCATGCATGCATGCGTCTGATTGGTTTCCTTTATGTTCCCTCATTCAGATTCCAGGTCTGCTTGTATTCTAGTATCATAATTACAACATAAACCTTTTGTCGAACAATCATGCATATTATATTAAGTCTAGGTTATATACATCATGCGGATAAAGTCAAATGCAGAGGTTAATGTATGGCATTACTAATTATTAAAACATTGTAAATATGAAAATGATTATTTCCTTGTTGTAGGGAAAAAAGGAAAGAAAACATTTCTGGCAGAAATCTGTCAAATATCATGGTCAAGAAAAACCTAAAGTTGCGGAAAAAAAGCTAAAACCCGCGATGCCCGATCCTCCTTCTCAGTATTCAATAGAAGATGACGGTCTTGATGGCTATGAGGAAATTCAGAAAACGGCCAGAGGTCCAATTCCTCCAGACATAGACAAAAGACCACCACCATCTCTTCCAGTATCTTCATCAGCAGACTTGGGAGAATACGAAGAAATCGAGGGGTTGACACGTGATCCAAGTAGAACTGAGGTACCTAGAAACAATAGCTCCGGTGATAAAACTCTAAGCGGCTATGATGAAATAGAAGAGGTTGAAGCACTTCATAAACAGGCGCGGGGTGACACAAAACCATTATTCGTGAGAGGAACATCATTAACAAAAGACTCAGATGAAGCCACCGATGTACATGGAACATCAACCTCACATTCTGATGCAAGTACACCAGAAAATTTAGAAAGTAATGCAAATGTTTCAAAGGAAAGAAATAATAAAGCTAAAAATACAAACCACAAACTGTTTCAAGATTTGTCAAGCGAAGAACTTGTAGAAAGGCTTATTTTATGCAACTTACACGACACTGCTGCGATTTGTAAGGAAGAAAAGCTTGATGGATCTTTTTTTACAGATGAAACTCCTGAATCGTTGAAAGACGCGTTTGGGTTACAAGGACTGAAGCTCGCCAAGTTTTTAAAAATGAGAGATGAAAATTGGGTTACAAAATGAAATGGTTTCTGAAAAAAAAACAGATACAATTCTATGTTTTTAACTATACAAGCGTTACAATTCATATTATCTTGTTATACAGTCTGCAATGTAATATTTACTTGATTAGAATATTTTTCTATCCATTTCAACGAAATCAAATAATATCTTTCCCTTTGCTTTGCAAAATATGCTTTTAGCATCGACTATAGTTTTTTTATAGTTCACCGAGTGTGACTGTACATATTTGCTGTTTGTTGAGGAGCATTCATTGTTATTTTTACCTCGTACTTAGAAATATACCTATTTTAAACTTCCGTTCTCAAAATTGTGACATGAAGAATGTTATTTTCAAATTGTCTACCGTCTAAGCTGTTTCTTTACATTAAAAAAAATCGAAAGTTTTAAAGAATCATTACTTTAAAAATTACAAAGCATGTCTTTGTATTCCATTATGCAATGGAAGGCATCCTTATTCAGCTGAAAGTTTTGGAAATGGTTACAATATTTATTTTCATACCTCTCGATGAAAATAAATACTGTATATATAGGAAAAAAGCATGCATGGCCTCTATTTAGTTATTAAAAATAACATACAAATGAGCCGTGTCATGACAAAACCAACGACCAGCACGGATCCAGACCAGCATGCGCATCCGCGCAGTCTGATCAAGATCCATGCTGTTCGCTTACAAACCCCTATAACAAGAAGAGAAACTGATAGCGAACAGCATGGATCCTGATTAGACTGCGCGGATGCGCAGGCTGGTCTGGATCCATGCTGGTCGCAAACGCACTATGTTGGTTTTGTCTTGACGCGGCTCAAATAATGTCCCTAGAATAGCCAAGATATCATTACAAATAAATAACTTTTACATCCTTGTTTGTTAAATATCGCACGTTTGCAATACATTTTCTTTACTTTGTTTACATTTGTAAATACAATAGCGACTAAAGAATACCATTGTGTGATATTTAAATGTGATTTGTGGTTAGTTAAAAAGATTTGTTTATTCGATGTACGTTCACGTATAACATTTTGGAGGAAAAATATTTTAGTACAAACTCTTTGCTAGTTTCGGCCAAATGAAATGTGAGATAGAATAAGGGGAGGCAACTAGAGTTTACATTAAGGGACTTATTAACAATGTGTTGTCAATGATAAAGATATTTTGCATATAAAAACAAATATGAATCAATATTGTGTCAGTCAAGTATATTTCAGTTTACTGCTTATATTTAAAAAAGACATCCTCATTTAATTACTGCAATATTTAAAGTTTTCAGTTTATTTTTACTTATTTTGATAGTGAACCTATCTATAGAAACAATTTAGCAATGTTCTACCTTAAGACTTACTTTTATGATTTTTTAATATGTGTAAACTATTATTACCACTCCATTTGAGAACATTCTCGTAGAAATACAGTCCTGTCAGTGATTTAATGTCATTTTGTTTCCAGTTCATATCCAATGCATTTACAGATGATGGCAAGACACTGGAAATAACGCTCGTAACATTACCTGTTTTATTATTGTTATTTCTAAGTCTATGAATATTATGTAGCTGTAACTGCCACTGTAACTGTCAGATCTTACAGGAACTCCACTGGGGTCAAAAAGCTTTAAACTTACAATTTAAATTCCGTACATATATCAACTTAAAACAGAATGATATATAATTTCAGATAATTAAGAAATACACTCAAAAATGAATTGAAAATTGTATTTTATGCTATTTCAATAATGATTTTAATGAAAAGCGTTGGTAAAGGGATTTTCAATTGTGATTCTTTCTAATAACGGAGTTAGGGAAAAGACCTTCATAGAATGGAACATTAATCTCGAAAATATATTTCCAGTCCCGCAATGTCTTAAAACCTCAGTGGAGTCCCTTTAATACAGGACGAAACGAACAGTATGACGTAATGCATCGGTGCTCTTTTATGAGAGTGATGTACTTTAAACGGCGATTAGTTTGTACAACTATGGTTATCTGTTTTCAAATATGGGTTTGTCGACTGTTAATTTCATCGTGTAAAGTCTATTTATAAGGCACCAGTCATTATCAAAAGGTAGACTTACCAACGTTTAAAAACAAACTATTTTCATTGCAAAACCAGAATTGTATTTAGTTTAAACAATATGTAATTTTAATCTACATTTACATAATAAAGTACATTAAATAAAATTTACGTATTGAGTAGAAAGCTTGAAAAGCTTTTTTTGAAAACTTTCTTCAGGAAATGTATTTATATGACGTAATAATGATGCTGTTGTTGTTCTCCAGAATTTATGTTTTTATTTTTATATACATATGTAAGTATTGTTGAAAATGAATATGTATTTAATAGTAAGTGTAAATAAATGTTTACGAAAATGTGTTTATTTTTTGGTTTCTATATACTTTTTTCTACGCAAGTGATTTTTAGTATTCAGAAAATATTTAAAAACATGTAGAAAGATTCGATTTCGGAAATGAAAAAAATGAGCTGTGTCATGACAAAACCAACATAATGGGTTTTCGACCAGCATGGATCCAGACCAGCCTGCGCATCCGCGCAGTCTGATCAGGATCCATGCTGTTCGCTTACAAACCCTATAACAAGTAGAGAAACTGATAGCGAACAGCATGGATCCTGATCAGACTGCGAGGATGCGCAGGCTGGTCTGGATCCATGCTGGTCGCAAACACATTATGTTGGTTTTGTCGTGACACGGCTCAAATATCAAATTTTACTATTTTGTACAAAATATTGGTAATTGAAAGCAGTATAGCCGATTCATTCATACGTCAATTTCTAAATAAAGTCTAGAAAATTGAAAAATCCATGCGTTGATAATTGAAATCTAAACACAGCATTCTATTATCCAAATTATGTTTCCTGTTATATGTCGACCTTAGCAATTATGACTTATTTGTCAGGAAATAATCGCTACATGAATGGGTAACATTCTTAAACTAGAAATTGATCGTTCAAGTGAAGTTGTCTACAATGAGTAAATACCACTTCAGAACATGCTTGGACATTCCTACCTTTATGGTGAATTGTCCGTTGTTTTCTCAGAGCACGTGTACAAAAAACATGTTTATTAGAGGGGACATGTCGCAGCATGTAGTGCTCTCGGCTGCCTGGTCAATATATAAATTTAACGTAACATAATACATTTATTTCAAACGTAACTTTAAAAGCAAAAACTTTTCTGAAAGTTATTAGTTTTGTAATGTTTATACGTGTTTATATTATACATTTAGTACAATACTTTTGAAATGTATTGCATGTGCATATACATGTATTAAATATACATGTATATACGCTCGTATATCAAGACAAATATATCAAATGCTCGTGGATTTATTATGTACATAACTTCACTTTGTGCCAGCATCATCTATGGAGATGAATTCGTTATTTTAATTGCAAATGAGAAATGTTTTCATTAAAACGACCAACCGCTGCCGTTCCCTTATAAAAATAATCAAATGACCGAGGCTGGGATGACTTTCAAGCCATTGATTGCCTAACTAAAACAGTTTTCGTACCGAAAATACTCATTACATTTTACAGACTACAGGAAACGGTATGATTACAATTTTACATTCTATCTTTTCATCTAGCAGACTGACATGCTTCAAATTTCCGTTTTGTAATCTAATCATCTTTTCCATTTCATATTATGATTACGGCGTTTGATACCACCGTGTCGTCTGCATTAGCATTCATGTCCTATTGAATAATTCACAGCGTTCTTTTACAAATTACTTTAAATAAGATCTTTTTTAATAACCATATGTAGACTCTATCTTTTTTCGGACTCTCTAATTCATTGAAACAGAAATAAAAGGATTATAACTTGTTTCATCAGCATCAAAAGTATCAACTGGTTATTTTTATTCATGTTACTGTATAGCTCTAGTTAATCAATAAAGGTAGAATATAAAATTAGTTCGCTAATCCAATTGAATAAACATACATACACATGATTACATTCAAGATTAAGAAAACATATCAATTTTAAAAGGTTTGTTTATATTCATTTAAGGCTGAATGCATTCGGTGAGAGAAACATATTATAATGCAGGACTTCGTTCCCAGTAACTCGGCCTTAGAGCTATTTTACATTTTATTTATTTTCATAATTTATCATTTTATTTTTTCTGATTATTTTTAATCATATAAGTAGTGAGTACTATCATTAAAAAAGCTATTCAAGTTTAGAACAATAGTCATTTGAAGAGACAAAGTTTACGGTGAAGTACTCTTATTATGTCGCCGTTATATGACGTCATTTCACATGCGTCACGTTTAATTTAACAACTCGCTAGACGTCGCTCATATTCGAGCAAATTAGAAGACATTTCTGATAACACATTGAACAGCATGCAGTAAAAAATTAAATGGTCCATGTACGGTTTTATTGAACTTGTTTAACGAAGATAATGTAAAAATCAATGTCATGCTAGATCCAACATATTAAGATTTTTGACAGGTGAAATATGACCCTATATGTACGGTTGTTTGTATATATAATCCTAGCCGTTAGGCGAGGGTTATATATACAAACAACCATTCATATACGGCTATATAACCTGTCAAGAATGTTTATAACGAATTTATAATACAGCAAACTTCCTATTTTTCTTTTTTTTTTAAATAGAAAATAATTTCACAGCAGCTCCGTATACAGTATAGTTTATGTAAACGTCACAGTTATCCAATGAAAAGCGTCGATACAAACGTGATTTGCCTATATTCATTTTTGTGCTTGTTAATAGAATCGCATCTTTACCATCTTAACCATACAAAAATAGGTTTGTATCATAAGTCCAAGAATGACTAATATTTTAAAAATAAACAAGATCAAAGTATCAGGTTCACAATAAAGATGCTCATAGATCTACAGTAATAAAAAGAAAAAGAAACCAAGAGAGTCACATAGGTCTTTATATTATAAGAACCAAATGATCAACTCTATATAGGTGCATTGAAGACATTGTGCAGATGTAAAGAAGAAAATGTTGATTTTTGATTTTAGCACTGATCGCGGACCTTGACGATTTTAGATTTTAATGTTGCGCAATACCTATAATGAAGGAACACCCTTGTTGAAGATTTTCATTAAAATCTGATTAGTTTACATCTTTAACTTATTAAGATATAATAAACATTGCCACACATCGGCCAATCATAGAGTCATCAAAATCTGCACAGCGGTTTGTGGAATGATGCCATTTAAACCTTATTGCTATGTTTAGTTCTGACAACCGTCTAACTCGGCGGATCAGATCGCAGATCGGATAAAAAATATTGAATTAAGGACCATTTTGGTAGCATATAAACACAACAGGTTGTGGTTTAGAAGGAGATTTAACGTCAAAGACAACGGTCAATGGTCATAGACTAATCTTGAGCACATCACAATACGTATGCTAGAAATGAAAAGGCAATTTTGTCGTAGACAAACAATAAACCCGACTATCTTCGCAGCAATTTATTTTATTTTTCCAATTACCCGTATCTGAATTATACATAATCTTTCCTTTTTATAAAACATACTAAAATATCTTAGATTACTTTTACTACATAAGTTAATATGATTCGTTAATCTTATTACTAATAAAACCTATGATAATTATTATTTCAATTTTCTAGATACGAATCAAATTTGTATCATTGTAAAAATGCGTTTTCTTTTAAGTAAGTCATTGTTAATGAAAGGTAAATTATCTATTTTATATAATACATACATTCGTTGTAATAAATATCCATTGGAGAATCTGCTTGACTTACTGGGAGTAAATGTAAACATATTATCATAAAATAACACAAATTTGATGGCACCATTTTCTATAACAACTTATATCCTTATGTGGCGAAAAGCTAAAAGTGCCATAAATTCAAGTTCTTCATTTTTAAGAAATCAGTCAGAAGAATCTCAAAAAACTGAACTATCTTTCTATGTTTAACTTTTCCGATCCCCTCTAAGAAACGAAATAGAATTGTAATCATATAAATTTTTAATGTTCTTTGTCATTCTGTTAGCTAAGCGTAGATTGCGAAAACAAGAAAAATATTTAGAAATTAGTATACTAACTTCAGTAAAATATTTTTCTATAGCTATTAGTTTGCAAGTGTGAGCTGTTATGACCTCTAGGAAGAGGCGGATATAAGGAATGTGTTTGTTTATCATATACTAGTCCGCGAAATTCCTTCCGCCGAGATTTTGGAATAACGTTCCTTCCTTGTCCGTCACGAATTTCTCGTACAAAACATTCCTTTGGCTCCTTAAATTGCGAATAAAACACTTTTACTGGTCCGAAACAAGATGTAAAAGCACACGTTGAACAGCCATTATAGCAGGGATAACTTACTCTACATACTTCCGTTGATTTATTATAATATTCTGTATCTTTACTGGATTTATATTGCCGTGTAGTTTTAACTGTTTGTTTATTTGAATGAGACGGCCACAAGCGTGGTAATCTACGAAATGTTTTCACATATAACAAGTCAGCTGCGGACAGTTTCGAAGAGTTTTTCTTTCCAAAAGATGTCATAGAGTTACCCACAAATTTTCTTTTAATTAGAGGACTACCGGAAATAAGGCGATGATTTCCACTTTCTTGTATTAGTCCAGTATGTTTCTCTTTCGGTTCTTTATGTGATACAGGGAGAGATAAAATTGCTGGAAACATTTCTATATTCACACTTTCCTTCTTATCCTTTTTGTTCATCTTCACCTGAAATATTCATAGGTAAAAGTTGTCTTAATAAAATAGTTCTCCTTATAAATTAAGAAAATGTTACAATGGTGAAAGGAAGTATGGTAATCATTTCCTTTATAAAAAAGTTCTCCTTGTTTATTACGAAAATCTTTAAATAGGGAAAAATAATCATGAAAAATGTAAGGGAAAATTATTATGAAAAATGTATTTCCATTATTAAAATTTATATGTCATTTATATGCTTTATCAAAAATGCTTAAGTCAATTTAACAAACAAAACAAAATGTTTTTAGAAGATGAACATTACATAATAATTATAGCAACCTGTTAAAAATGTAGAACATATTCTTACCGAAAAAAAAGAAATAACCAAGCACTCAATCCAAAGCAAAAATGATTTCAACAGTTTCTGTACGCCTTCTCTCGCAATCTCAACGCCATCCAGGAATCGATACAGAGTACTGTAGAGTCTTTTAACGATGCCTTTTTGCGATCGATTAATAACTCAAAATTGGTTCCAGTAACATTTTTGAATCAAGTTTCCTTAGAAATATTCAAATGAATAGTAATTATTCACAATTACACAATTAACGTTTATTTTCTTTCCAAAGAAAGTCAAAGGTAATGTAAAGTAGAAACGTTTAAACGTATGACGGG